ATAGATCCTAAGACAAAACATCTACCAAATAGAGGATAAAAAAAAAGAGTTTTAATGATAGAAGCTAAAGTTTTCTGAAGATTATTCCATTCAGAACTATATTACAACTGTAAAAATTTAGATGCGACAAATTGTTTTAAAAATTTTTTTGCTAACTTGGAAAAAGTTTAAATTTTTTTATATTATTTAAAATAAAAAGTAATTTAGTCAAAATCAAAATGTTGAAAACACATTTCTAAATAAATAAATATGCTATGATGTAAAACTAGGAAAAATAGATAGATTTCATTAAGTAATTTAAAGCAGCCTGAGCTAAACTCTCATGCATTTAAATATGCAAGTGTAATATTCTTTACCTTTTAAAATAGTTTGTGTCATTTACTGTGCTATAAAATATTTAGTTATACAGGTTCCCCCAGTTTTAGTAATACAACATATTTATAAAATATAATCATTTGTTAAACTCTTACAACATATTTATTAACTCAGAACATTTAACAATAACAAATTTTTTCAATAGTCTCTTAATCTATTTTTTTTTTCAAATCTTTCAACAAAAAATAAGCACCTTTTAAGTACTTTTTAAGCCCGAAAAAAATATTTTTAAGCACCATATACATTAACAAAATGCAAAATAATTTTTAAAGACTTTACATGATCATGATAAAATGATTAAGTTCTGACTAAGAACTCTTTTCCTTGATTACATTAGCCACCATAAAAAGAGAGAGAGATTTTTCGGTTCGATTTCAGAGGGAGGAATATGAAGCCAAAAATTGAGAATCTCTTGCAAAATGCAGCCGAGTTGCACACGATAGTGCAAGAATAATTCCCACTGAAACCAGCTCAAGTATCTGCACATGCTGACCCGCAAACATTTCATCAAACATGTCAAATGATTGGAATTTTCATACGCTACGGAACTGCGGTACGACAAAATGCATTGTGTTTGAATGATTTGTGAAAACATTTAATAGAAAAATGTGAAAACCACGCTTTTGCATAATGCGTGGCAAAAATCAACAAGGTAAAGAAAAAAAATTTTATTTTCGAAAAGGGAAAATTAAGCACTTTTTAAAAACATCCAATAAAAAAAGCATCTTTAAGGGCTTTTGAAAAACGGAAAAAAAGCGTCTTTAAGCACTTTTTATAAACGATATGCACCATGTTTTTAGAAGCAGGCTGCAAAAAAAACTTTTTAACTTTCAGGGGCCATAATCAATACTGTTTTTACATCAATAAACCCTTTGTTATAGCTGGAATACCAGTGTCTCATTTATGGATTTTTTCTGATGCTTTGATTGCAAGCAATAGTATATTTCAGTATTTTTTTAATTATAAAAAACAGTCATATAATTACTAAAAATAATTAATAATAACAGTCTACTATTTATCTTCACATATCTATTTTGATTTCATAACCATAAATTATTAAAATTCCAAATTCACTATTTTCACCTAAATTAATAGAAAATTAGAAAAAATATGTTTAATGAAAATTCTGCCTCAAACCTAATACTCAGTTGGTCAAATGTATTAAATTGTAATCAGTCATAATAATTAATCCAAGTCAAATCCTAATTAACAGACAAAGGTGTTTTGTTAGTAATCATTTCATTAATTATAAGTATTTAAATGTTGTCCGATTAAGAAAATTTGTCTAGTAATTAAGAAAAATAAAATATACAGAAGGAATTTTAAGTTGATAAATGAACAATGCTTTGCAATACGCTCAGAATCTAAGATGCTAATATCTTATACTGCAAATGTTATGATAAATTTATAAGAATGTACTCTGATAATAATAAAAACCAAGTGTAATTCAAAATAACAAAAAGCAACTAAATTTAGAATTACTTTGCATACATTTCTTAGTTCCTGACTATATTTTTATAACAGATTTTTTTTATATAGAGATTTATTAATTCTTTTCATATTAAACTAAAACTTGCATATCATACTTTTAACTTGAGATAGGACAACACACTCCTATAAACTTTCAAATGAAAGTTAAAAATCATTGCATTTGTACATTTTGACACTAAGATTTCAGTTAAATTTCCAATTAAAGGATCAAAATTAGAGAACTTGTACATTTTAACATTAAGTATAATAAAACTCTAACTACAATATTCTGCATTAAAAAAAATCATTGCATATTACTTGCTAAATTTTAGTAAAACATAAAATTATACTAAAATTATCTTATAATAAAATACACTGATATCGTTAAAAAAAATTAGGTGAATATATTATAGTTCATTTATATACAATTGAACTATAATATATATTTATCAATCAATGATGAAATAACGATAAACTGACAGCATTTGCCAATTAACATTGGTTAAATATAAAAAATATTAGAGAACAGGGATATCCATATTTTTCAAATCAAAGAGCGCATTCTAGAATCAGGGGTGATTGTGAGCCCAACTCAAAAATCCTGAAAATTATTTGAGTAAAATCATTAATGACCCATTTCAAAAAATCAATGTCTTTATAAAATTAAATCATTTATATTTTCAAAACATAAAATTCTGAATAAATTATATGCAGCATAATTTAAATGAATAATTATGAATGAGTTTATTTTCATCTCTAATCACATTGATTATTCTTCCAGAAAAATTATTTAAAAATGAAAGAGATGCCAAGTATAAATTCTAGTTCTAATATTTCTAAATAAAATATACAAGAATTTTTATGCATAAATGTGATCGACAATTTCTTGAAACTTCTGGACCTTGGATTTCAGGAAACTTCCTGATCGCAATTACCGAAAAATACGGAAATCAGGATTTTTTCCGGAGCACAATCATCTCTGTAGAATGCCAGTTGGATAGAGGGCACCATCAAGCTGAATTTCTAGTTGGAATCATTACTTTTACATGGTCGCACAACATCTGGCACAAGTAAAACTATTGGTAGCTGCTATGGTACCCGTGAAAATAGGTTTGGGGGCCCCTGACATAGAACTTTGATTATCCAAATCACAATCAACAAAATATCTCTGTTAAACAGAAGTTTCCAAGTTGTTCTTTTTATTCAATTTTTCACACACTTTATGGTTTTTCTTTCTCTTTATAAAACGAACCTCAACAATTTAAAGATTTTGATAAATGAAAGAATGTTCGGTCCCAACTTCAGATAATCATGGTTCTACTGTACAACAAAATAATCATTCAATCAATAATTAATCAAATAATCAACAAATTATTATTTAATAAACCAAATTATGATACAATGACTNTAGAATATTTTTTTATAAATACATTTTCAAATATTTTTTTTTTTTAGTTGGGTTTAACAATAAAAAATACGGCTTTTGTAGCGATTCAGAAAACCGGAAAAATCAGTTATCCGGAATAGCGATGGTCCCGATCATTCCGGATAATCGGTTCCCTACTGTATAAATAAACAATTAATCAGATAATCAACAAAAAATTATTCTTTGATTAAGCAAATTATGATATAATGGCTAAATTATGATATTATCTACAAATTATCATACAATCAATAAATTATCATATAATCAATAAATAATCATATAAATACAACAACTTAAACAGAGATAGAGTAATCCTTTTTATAACAAATATTTTAGGAACCGATACCAGAACACATCAGTGGTTTTTTTAAAAATGAGATCAAGATATGAGTACAAAGTTTAAGAAGGTCCAGTTTAAGGTCTTATAAGATTATTAATTACATCAGAAGGATGCCAACTTATTGTGATGTGCAAAGCTATTTTCTATATTGTTTGGAGACATGACTTTCCATATCACTTTTATTAAAAATATTAAAATGAAATAGTCACTTGATATACTATAAAAAGAACTTTTCCAAACGATAAAACATAGCAGAAAATAAAATACCATAAAATATAGTATAGAGAGATTAGCACTCACAGTTTAGAACTACATATGAAAAGATTGCACTGAATATAATAGCAGAAGAAATAAGTAAGTTTACGTTTACACAAAAAAAACACAATTGTGTTTCTACAAAATTCAAAAATGTCATAAAGAAATAAAGGACCATAAACAAATTGAAAAGTATACTAAAATAAAGGGTCATTCTCAAATAGAAAATGCACNATTTCCTGAGAGCTCGTTATAAACGAGTTCGACTGTATAGAAAGATTAGCACTCAGAGTTTACAGCTACATATGAAAAGATTGCACTGAATATAATAGCAGAAGAAATAAGTAAATTTATGTTTACACAAAAAAAAACACAATTGTGTTTCTACAAAATGCAAAAATGTCATAAAGAAATAAAGGACCATAAACAAATTGAAAAGTATACTAAAATAAAGGGTCATTCTCAAATAGAAAATGTGCTGAAAAGAAGCGGTCAGTCATAAAATGAATTAAAAAAAGAAAAAGACTAATGAAAATTCAGAAAAAGAACTTATTATTATTCAGTAAGAGAAAGAAGCTTATTGTTATTCAGTAGTCAAAATTAAAATTATGAGAACTCTGTGGCAGTAGTTGGCACCCAGCATTTGAGAATGAGTGAGAATTAAAAACATACATTAATAATTTACATCAATTAATAATTCAGTGAGAATTAATTACAAGAAGTGATTACAACGAGAGTGATATTTAGACTGTATATTGGCTTTTTTCAAATACATATTTGCCTACTCAATCGTATTCTGGTTTCCTTCGTAACAGGGTATTTTGTCTAAAAGAATTTTAAGTTTTACCAGACAATTGAAAACGCTGTAAAAATAATAATAATAATAAACAAGACAAAATGAAATTGGACAAAATGAAAGGAAGGAAAGAAAAAAAAGACCAATACAAATGTATCCTAAGAATAGCTTGTTGTTATTAACAGCTTGTATGTTATTTAAAGCTGTTTTATTTCTTCTTTAAAGTAAGTGTAATATAAAAAGCCTAAACTAGAATTCTAAATTGATAAAATAGAAAAATAAATAATAAATAAATAAAAAAATCTGAAATCACAGAAGTTTAAAAGATAATTCAGTCTAGAAATAATGTTCTTTCTTTCATTTTTTTGAAAGAACACAATAGTTTTTATAAAACAGGATAAAAATATTTTATACTTTAATAGAATATGACTATAAGTGGGGATTTCGCTACAAATTTAGATATTTGGAACATTGAAACACTGTGAAATTGGAAGGGGGGTTAATTCTATTTAAAAAGATTTTACAGCGACCTAAACCCATGACTTTCCCCGATTTTTTTTAAACAGGTAAAATCATGACATTTCGTGACAAATTTTGTTCAATACCAAAATCCATGATTTTTCACAACTTTCCAGGTGCATTTATACCCTGTTAGTCAGAAAATTACAGTTAAATCATCCAGGATTAAATTATCTAGTTAGCCAAACTAAAAATAATAAAGGTATCTCATTGTAACCACTTCTTATTTGGAAAAAAAATTTATATTAATTCAATTGTTTAAAAATTACTTCATCAACTTATAAGAATGGGTGTAATCACATTATTTTGTACTTCAACAACAAACCACTGTCTGTGGTAGGAGATCAGACAAGAGTGAGTTATTTCTTCCTTATTTGGTGGTACGATTCTCTTCAACAATTTGCCACTACTCAGGGACCACAATCTCGTGATGTTATCATCTCCAGTTGCACACATAAGATCTAATTCATCATTAATCGTAAACTTTCTGGAGTACAGACTGTTTTTGTGCTCTGGGTAATGAAAAATGGCACGCCTCTTTCGAAGATCTAACTGAAATGTAAAGAAATGCATTATCAAAATTGAAGATATAAAAAGGTTACATAAAGAAATAGATCACAAGAATTGCACGCCATAACAAAACATCAATTTTATAGTAAATTACATATAGAAGTGCAATTAAAAATAAAGCACTACATAATAATAGAGATATTATCATATCGATTAGCAATAATAAATTCAATACACAAGCTAAAACATAAAAAGGTTTTATAAAAGAACAGAATTTAAGAATTGTAAAATTAACTTTGACAATACATACCATAATACATTAATTTTATATTAAATTTGACAGAAGTTTAATTAAACAAAACACTACAGAATAATATCATTTAAGGCGAGATAATTGTATCAGTGCAGTAATAGTACTAAGGGGAAATAATTATCGACTATGTCGACCTTCATCTATCAAAAAGCACCCCTAGGTAGAACCATGTCTTACATACTAGTGAATTGGTACTTCATATTTATAGTGGTAGTTAAGCCACATTACTCCCCTTCCAGAATTTTATATGTCATAGAATTCAATGAACAAATACCACTAGTTGATTTAAGCTATTTATTTATACAATTATTATTTTCGCTATTTATTTATACAATAGTTATTATTTATTATAATCATTATTTTATTGTTCTTTGTTTTCGTTGGCCAGGAGAATTTTATTGACTTCAGCGGATTTTCATAGCAAATCAACTGTTTAATGTGGATCATTTATCGATGTTGGCTAGTTCATAACATGCCCGGGTCACCAATAAGAGGAAAGAATTGTCAACAATACCAACCTTCATCTATCAAAAGATACCACTGTTTGGAAACAAGTTAACATGGCTTATATACTAGTGAATTGGTATTTAAAATTTATAGTGGTAGTTAAGCCACAGTACTTTCATACCTTAGATGAAATAGTTACCATCATTTGACAAGGTCAGGGCAAATGGCATAAAAGTGTTTAAAAAATATATACTAGATGTAATTTCTTATACTAGATTAAATTAAAGCAAGTTTAAGAAAATAGAACTAATAGTTTGGAAGTTATAGTTGTTTTTTTCTTCTTCTTTTTACAAAAAGTAGGTACACTATTAAATTTGTGCCAGTTTACGCACTTGAGATTATCTTTTATTAAACTTTTTTTGCAAATATTGCATAAAATATTCTCATTATTGGATATAGTTTGAATTAAAAAATTTCTCATGCCTCAAGATTTATATTAACATAGCCAAATGAAGTCTTAATCCTTATGCATATTTCTATACATAACGGAATGAGACTAAACCAGAGTGATCAATATTTCTATTAACTCTAACTTTGTCATGAACATTCCCTACTACACACTTAATAGTAGTCAAAAGATTTAAATTTCTTCCTAATCTGTTAAGATTGCATTAGTCAAATTTTCTAATACAGAACTGCACTACTGTGATGATGTAACAGTAACCAACTCTGAGCAAACATAATCTAGCTAGCATAATTTAAAAGCTTTTACAGCTTTGAGTAACTAAATTTTATTAGAATCAGTTACAGCTGATTAAAAATAGAAGTGTGGGAAACTATTCTAACTTTAGAATAAAGTCCTCAGTAAACTTCAATTCTGATTATTTTATTCTTATTCTAAATTGTGAATCTTTTAAGAAATATTAATAATATTTCCTGAATATAGGCAAGAACATCGAATACTGATTATATTGCAGTATACTCTCGAAATCTCAAAAATCTTGTAACATCAAAAAAAATATTTTCCCCCTTGGCATTATATATCCACTTAATGTTAATTTGAATTCCTATGTCGAAGGGTTTTTTCTCAAAACCTTGTTACTTGTTATGTCTAATTTTTTTTAAATAGAAAATTAATTTTTTTGCAAAAATCTTCATGTAAGTTCATTGCAAACCAAATCTTTTCTATTTAATGCATAACTATTATTTTCTTACTTTTAAAAATAAAATTATAATTGTTGTATTTAGACTTATAGTCAACTATCATTACATACCACAGATTTATTAGTAATTATTCTTATCTCTATTTTTTAGAGTAATATTTTAGAATATATTTTTCTACTTTTTAGAATATATTTTGTTCTGAACTTGCTATAACAAAAACTTGCTATATCTAAATTTTTTTTAGCCTTCCTTCGACTTTGAGATATATATTGAGAGTATACTGTATTCATATAAATATAGCTTAATCATAAGAAGTGAAAGATTTTTGCTCATTAAAGGAATAAAAAATAGGAAACAAATATTTTTTCACAGAACATAGGAGTATGTATATCTAATACTAATTAATTGACAGGGAAAAAACATGTTACTTTTTTATAACCATCGTTGGATAGCCGACCCAATTTTTAGGGTTTACAACTACAAATGTTCAACTTCAAAGCCTTGTAATTTTGAATCTAATCCAGAAGATAAGGAAACTCCTGGATCAAGTATTGGGGAGAAATATGCCAAAGTGGAGGAATTTTTGATGGAACTAACCCGCATTTTTGTTACATGGAGAGGGAAACTTTCGATGGTAAGTCTGACAGCAAGGGGACTCTAACCCATGATCTGTCTACCACTGAGGATATTTTGTGTCAGCACTGTGGTCGGTGCAAGCCGGATGCAGAATTCGCATCGAACGCTGGGGTTCAAACCCGGTACACCTCATTGGAAGGTGAACGCTCTATCCCCTGAGCCATCATGGCTCGGAGAAAAAGAAGAAAAAAAACACTGTCAAAAAATTTATTAACTAGTGCTTCTTCTGGCTTATGAGGACCGAGAATATTCCCTTATCCACACCTATTCATACCAACTACAATCGAAAAAGCACCACCAAGAAGATTTTTAACTTGTAAAAAAAAATTTTTAACAATTATGTTGAGGTTTGCCCAAGAGCGGCAACAAATTATAATCTTAGCCCACTCTCTGAAATTGTCTTCTTGTTGTTCTTGTAGGCCATTAAGGCAAGGGGTAGGATTGCTTTTGTTTTCCTGTAGCGCCATCTATAGCCAAGAATTCAACTTCTGCCACACCCGTTTATAGAACGGACCCATTCATACATCTACAGATCATAATTTTGACCTGAACCAGAGGACGATCAATCTCCAATTCAGTACCCCCAGAGTGTAATTTGTTATTTGAACATGGAGGACTTTGTGACACAAAAGATCTAACACGCACCAGTCACCATTTACTACATGAGGAGTCTTCGCCAGGATGGATTTGAACCCCTGTTCTCGCAAACGAGAGTTCAGCACCCTGCCAACCAGGCTGTCCTGGATCGAGTTTTTTTTTAAAATTCTAGTTTCTCGCCAGTCACTGCTGAAAGTGCTCGACATATATTTTTGCATAGGTACCAATACAAAAATCTTTTCCATAAAGCTTTTACTAAATGTCCTAAATGAAAAGCGGTATAAATAATAATGTGATTAACATACTAATCCCATATCACCATCAACATCAGCAAATGCAAGTTGCCTTTCATTCGACAACAATTTCATATCTATAACTCCTTCAATGCCGCAAGGACAAAAGGGTTTATAGGAAAGATCATTCCCATCCAAACGTAGATCAAAACTGAGCAATTCCCCATCATCACAGCCGATATACAGAATATCTCCATCCTCGTTGAACGTAAGAGCATGAACAATCCCAGGCATTTCCGGCAAAACGAATGCCTCCACCTCGTCATCAAATTCTTCAGAATCGTACAGATAGCAGGTGTTCTCACCCCCAACAGCGATAACAGGATTTCTTGAATGAATTGCAACACTGTACACAAAATTAGGAAATTCCATTTCCGTTTCATCGAGAGTCCATTCTTCTAAGGGTTCTGACAACAGCTGAAGTCTGCCAGAGGTCTCAGTGTTGCCAATCACGTACAAAATATTTTCGTCGTTGGCCGTAGTGTATAAAAAATCTCTTACATCAAGATTCATGTTAAAAGGTCCATCTTGTACTGGAATATATACAGGCATGCTAATGTCATTTCCTGAGGTGGGACTATACTGTATCTTGAGGTGGACAACGGAATGGAAATTTTCGGAATCGTTCTGTTTCCAGACACCGATCAAACTGTCTGGAGCATACGTGGAAGCGCCAATAAACTTGCACATCATATTCGAGCAATTAGCGACTTCAAATGTATTTGAGGAACGGGAAAGTTGCTTTACTTTCATGTCTCGCATTTTATATTTAAATGAAGGAGTAGAAATTCCCAATTGGCGATTGGAAATAGATTCTAAAACATTAAATGGCCTGTAATAGGTCTCAATGTCATTTGTTGCATCATTTTCATTTAGACTTTGAGTAATAGATGTCATTTTTATTAATTAATGTGTGAACTGCTTATCTATATCATTCTGTTTATCTATATCATAGCATTCATCTAAACACTTTGAAAATTTCGACAATTCAATTTTCTTTTTAAATATTAAGCAAACAGAACACCATAAAAATTCGATCTTTCAGTTTTAAAAAAATATTTCCAAGCGCTGCAGCAATATTTTATCTTTGATAGAAAATAGTAAAATGTATATAAGACGTGAAAAATTTCGCAAAAAATTTATATTTAAAAATTAATATTTTAAAGTGTTCTTTCGACTGTGCATATTCCAGCTAATAATGCGATTATAAATGCCAAGGATTCATAAAAGCAGCTTTTTTTTCCTCCCAAGAAAAAACAACAAATTAAACATTTAATGTGTGAAATTTGTATAGAAGTCAGATATTTTCTTTTCGTTTTGTTTTCAAGTTTTTAATAACAAAAGCTTCTTATATTCGCTTTAAACCTTTAGTCTAAAATAAGTCCATTGATATGTTAAGTTTCACTCAAATGAAAGAAAGTGATCATAACAAATTATTAAAACCATTAAAATTGTTTTTATCATGCATAAAACAAATGAATAATTAACTGAAATTAACAAGATGACTTTAAGCTCACTTAAGTAATTTGAATGATTTTTAACTGTATCTGTTCCGTAAAAAATGTAAACAGAAAAATAGACGAATTTCGATTTTTCCATTACTACGAGTTGACGCAGTACTTTTATCATTTAAACTTTTAAAAGAACTTGTACTCAAAAAATTTTGTTCATCATTAAGCGTCTAAGTAATACTACCTAACACTTACGTTTTATTTTGTCTTGCAATGACGTCTGTAAAGAAATTGCGTGAAGATATAGATATCACAAAGCGAGAACTGAAAAATCTAAGGTTCATTCATGGTTTCTTTTAACTATAATTAAATGTATTCTTTCTTTCAGGGAAGTGATATTAAAAACCTCAGGCTCTAATTATGCCAAATATTCAACTTAAAATTCGGCCGAATAGCAAGATTTTAAAAGAAAACAAAAAACATTTATCTATAATTAAGTTTAGTTATAATTGAAAAATAAGCAAAACTTAGCTATATTAGGGGTATGGGATGAAGGGTAAAAACTATAACTCATAAGAAATATTTAAGGCAAATAAAAAACTGTCTAACAGGTATAAAAGAATCAAAGTTGTGAGGTTGAAAAAAAGAAGAAATTGAGAAAAAACTTTAAAACAAAATTTAAGTGCTAAAATTAATATTTAAAGGGAAAAAGTGTCCATAAAATATTAATTAAAGTATAGTATATTAGGCACGCTTTTAGAAATACTGTGCTATCATAAATATGTCCATAAAAACAAAAGATTCTTTACGAAACAAAGGAAATCAAAATTGATTTTGTCTCAAAAGAATATTTAAAAGCGGAACGATTTACTGTATCTTCCTGAAAATTCAATTTCAGTATTTTCCAGAATAAAGTCTGATGAGAACCTTTTTAATTGTATTAACCTAATAAAAGCATCGATAAAAATGAAAGTTTTTTTTTAAAAAAAAAAGAAGTTAAATAGAAATTTAACAACAAGCGCCATTCTTAATTTGTAAAAGAGAATAATTTAACGCTAAAAATATCCATTAACTTTTTCTCATTGTTGTAATATTAGAAAAAGACGATGAAGGAATAAAGTTCATAAAAAGTGATCTAAAAATTACTGTATTGTAATAAAAACACCCCAATAAAGAAAGATTAATGTCATCCAGGATATAAATGTATAAGTTTTAGAACTTAAAAAATGTGTGTAATATATTTTGAACTATCATTATGTGTGTAATACATTCATTATGTGTGTAATACATTCATTATGTGTGTAATACATAATGAACTATCTCTAATAATGTGTAGTTAAAAATACAATTTTAGATTAGTCTTTATTAAATTTATTCAAATTAAAAAAATACATTACCGAATATTTGCATGTTCTGTTAACTGAATATTTGACTAAAGGGCCGTATATTTTCGTCATTTGTCCTAACAAAAAAATTTTTGCAAGGCAAAAAAATTCAAAATTCCTGAAGATAACAAACTAACATTGTTTCAATTTTTTTCCCTCCAGGGATAAGGATTTTTTTTTAAAAAATTGGATGTACAAATTGCGATCACACTGCCACTAAGTTAAAAATAATGATGGCAATTGCTTTATTCAATAAAGTTTATTCATTATTTTGTTTTATTCTAAAAACAGAACTATATATATAGATTATTTAAGTAAACTTGAAATATTTCTTTAACTCAAATCATGCATACAAAATTAATTTCATTTAAAGATCTGATTTTTGTTGAAAATATTTTTTCTAACTTCATGGGGAACTACCAGATTAGAAGGGAAAATATTGTACATTTTGTCACTTAAATGTATCATAAATTTCTTGTAGCCTAATTGTATAGGCCACAGGGTAACTAAATATAACAATTTGCAATTAAAAAATTACCTGCCAGGCACCACACGATTGTCACTTTCATCCTCGTTTTATTTCACGCTTGTTTCTCCAAAACAATTTTTAGAAGCATACCGTATAGTGTTCACAATATTTTCAAAAATGCTTTTGAAGAAGTGTCTCATATCAATAATATCAATTTTATTTTATTTTTTAAACTGATTTAAAATTTTTATGATTTGATGAAATGGGCACCTCTTTTAAAAAGTGGTGGTTGTTAAAAATGTTACTGCTGAACAATATTTTCTTATTTTGCTCTCTATCAAATTGCCCATTTTCTTAAAGAAAAAAAATTTTCTTTTTCCAAAAAATACTTGTTTCATCATTATATTTGTCACGACAGCATTCAGCAATACATTCAACATTATATTCAACTTATCCAATACATTATGTTTGAGTAATTTCCTTCTTGGTATTGGTACTATCAAATAATTGTATTTATGACAAATTCCTAATTCATATATTAATTTTTATTTTCATGTTCTATATCTTTGAATTATAAATTGTCTTTTTAGGCAGGAGATACGAAAACAAGATGTATTAATGAAATCTGAGCTTGATAATTTTAAAACACTTATTTGTGGTACAGCAGAAAAAACTAAACCTCCTGATAAACCCAAAAAGATATTGAATGGTAAGAAAATATAGTTATGTCTAAAGGATTGCGTGGCTCTTACAATTATAATTACAGTGACGAAATTTTCAAATGGCAACATCTTTTTTTTTTTAATCTCAGTGTAATCCTTACATTGAAAACCCTAAAATGGAGTTGGAGTGAAATTTTTAGCACAAGAAACTGAGACTAGATAGATTAGACTTAATAGAATTAGATACACTAGACTTAAATAGAATAAACTAGACCTCTGAGCTTTTGCAAAGTATCACCATTTTTCATGATGACTAATGAGAAAAAAGTGTGAATGAAAACTTTTAAAAAAGAGTGGAAACTATGGACATGTCAAGTATTTTTAAAACATTAAATGCCTTCCTTGTAATTTTTTCTCTTCTTCTTAAAGGTTTTTATCACACTCTCTTGTTAGTGGTCACGAAAAAAAGGGACACTTAGCAAAAACCTAGTGTCGCAATTTCTTGTGCAAAAATGACGTTCCAACTCCATTTTAGTTTTCTTTTTTCCTGTAAGGATTACATCTAGATTAAAAAGAACAGTTATTATCATTTGAATTTTTGTAACTGTAACCATGAGAACTACGCAATCTATTACTATGTATAAAATATTATTCTGTTCATTCAAATGGTATACTCTGGGGCCGGGATAGCCTGGCTGGTGTGCACTGGGCCCGTGTCCAAGAAGTCACAAGTTAGATCCTCACCAGCCAAACACTCTCCGTGTAGTAAATGGTGACTGATGCACGTTAAATTTGTCAAGTCACAAAGTCCTCCATGTTCCCGTAACAAATCATATGTCTGGGGGTACTGATCCAGAAGTTTAATTGTCTCCTGGATTGGTTCAAAATTACAAGGCTATGGAGTTGAACATTAGTAGTCGTAAACCCAAAATTGGGTCGGCTATTCAACGACGGTTAAAAAATTAAATAAAATGGTATACTCTCCAAAGGATCATATGTCGGAAAAGTTATTTTATAATCACCCTGTATATGCATTCAATCCAAAGTTGAAGTTGTGACATCTATACAAACTTAATTAGTCATTTGCTAAAATATTTTGCAACATTGGTTTAAATTTCTATGCATTTCAACATAGATCTTTACGCATAAAAATTTGCAAGTTGTTCTATATTTTATTTATTCATTAAAAAAATTTCTGCAGATTGAGGCTGTGACATGAAAAAAGAGTTGCATTTTCCTTTTTGAGTGCAAAATTCTGTAAAATATAGCAATTGTGTAAACTGTGTTAAGACAATAATGTTTAAATAAATATTCTACGGAAAAATTAAATTGCTTACTCAAATGTTGCTTGTGTAAAAAATATTCGAAGTTTTTGTTGCAGGCGGTACTTGTATGTCTAATGAAATAATGACAAACACAACTATTTACAAAGCAGATTTTTTTTTAATTAACATAATGGTCAATGATAGAGTAATAATATGAGAAAAGCGAGTAATGTCACTTTTCTTTGCCTTTTATTCCGCTTTTGTATAATTGTTTTTCCTTCTTTGCTGTTTTTTCCCCTTTGTAAGTCATTGTATCTCCCCTTGCTTTGTTTCCTCCCCTGTCTCATCATCATCAGTAGCTCGACAGTCCTGGGTGGACCCTGGCTTTCTCAAGACTGCACCAGTCCTTTCTTCTGCGTGTTACGGCTTTCCAGTCTCTGACCTTGTTTGTGGTAAAGTCCCTTTGGAGGCAATCCGCCCATCTCAGTCGGGGTCTGCCTCTCTTTCTAACTCCAGTTGGCCTTGCCAAAAAGATTCTTTTAGTTGTTCTGTCATCTTTCATTCTTACAATGTGTCCGGCCCATTTCATGCGCTGGATCTTATGGTACTTCAGAATGTCCGGTTTTCAGAATATCCTGCAGAGTTCAGAGTTAATTCTCATTCTCCACACTCCCTTGTCACACACACCACCAAAAATGGATTGGAGTATCTTCCTCTCGAAAGCGATGGTCCTCTCATCAGCTTGAGACAAGGTCCAGGTTTCAGATGCGTAAGTGAAAACTGATCTTATTAGGCTTTTATATATTAGCAACTTGGTGTCTCTTTTAAAGTTGTCAGATTTAAGGAATTTTCTTATGCCATAAAAGCACTTGTTGGCTGCAGTTACTCTCTTCCTTACTTCTGTGGAAATTGAGTTTTCGGAGTTGATTTCGGAGCCAAGGTAGGTGAAAGAGTTCACCCTTTCAAATTTATACTCTTCAATCTCGATGTGCGTGGAGGTATCGGTATAGTTGATACATTGCATACACTTTGTCTTACTCTGATTAATTAAGAGGTGAATTTTTTTGGCCTCTCTTTCCAGGTCCAGGAATGCCTGCTTTAGGTCTTTAGGGGTTCTTGCTATGATATCAATATCATCAGCATAGGCCATAATTTGAACAGATTTTGAGAAAATAGTTCCTCTAATGTTAATTCCTGAATCTCTTACTACTTTCTCAAGAGCAAGATTGAAAAGAAGGCATGCTAATGCGTCGCCCTGACTTATGCCATTTTTTATTTCAACGGGTTCAGATAAGTTTCCCTGTATTTTGACTCTCAATTTGGTGTCATTTAATGTAAGGGATATTAGTTTCACAAGTTTTTCAGGAATGTTAAACTGTCTCAGAGCGTCGATAAGCAGTTCTCTATTAATGCTATCATACGCTGTTTTGAAATCAATGAAAAGGTGATGTGTATTGATCTGGAATTCCTTAGTCTTTTCTAGAATATGCCGGAGGTCATATATTTATTCAATTCTGGAACGATCCCTGCGAAATCCACACTGGTAATCCCCTATGATGTTTTCGGCATATGAAGATAATCTGCGGTAGAGTATATTAGAGAAGATCTTATAGGTAGTACAAAGGAGGCTTATACCTCTATAGTTAGAGCAGTCGAGGACATCTCCTTCCTCCCCTGTCTATTTCTAAATATTTGCATATTTATGTGGATTTTCTTTAGTCTTTTTTTTTTTAATGATATTGTGATATTTCTATACTATTCATTTGTCTGTAAATGAAAAGAAAAATTTATAAATTGGATTAACATAACTCTAAAATCCAAATTCCTAACCTAAAACCTAATTTTAAGATGGTTATTGATTAAAAAAACAAAGGAAAAACTGTCATTTTTTTAATGAAATACTTCCAAATTAATTTGTAGTTTTTTTTTTCTTTTTGGTTAGTACATTTATAATTGCAAATGAACTTTTCTTTAAAAAAAATCAGAGTTTTTCTGCCAAATGATAGTCAATTATTTAGAGTTCAATTACCAAACAAATTGGAATTTATAGTTTGATGTACTTAATTGTGATTAAGCAGATTTTATTCCCGAACTTTGCACATGAATATTTTTAATTAATTAAAACTTCTAAATTCAAACTTAATTGTACAATTACTAATTAAGTGATAATTACAAAGATTAACCATACCCTAATACTATTTAAAAAAGAAAAAAACTTCGAAATGGATATAAAAAAAACTATTTAATCAATACTGATCTTCTTTCTTTCCTGATTACTCCTAATTACTTTATAAGCTGTTATATTTCAAAAATATTCGGATAGAATATGTGTAATTAGTTTATTCCAACCGTACTCTTTAGTTCAAGGAACAACTTTACGCATATTTTTTATTTATAGAACTTACATTTATGTAGAATTTTTTTAAGGAAAAGAATCCTTTTATAGTTTCAATTTAAAGAGAGTTGCTATTGAATATAATTTTAGTTTAAATTATTTTTATGGTATTTTGTAATACAATTAAATGAGTACCATTTATCAAAACATAAAATTATCTCTCAAATGAATATTTTATTTTTCATATTATTATTCTTTGCTTTCATTTATTTAGTTGTTTTTGCAGATGAGAAACCGAGGTTTAAGAAACAAATCTTTTTGTGGCTTTAATTTAAAGGGAGTTGCTATTAAATATAATTTTTGTTTAAATTATTTTTATGGTATTTTGTAATGCAATTAACTGAGTACCATTTATCAAAACATGAAATTATCTCTCAAAACTAAAAAAATAAAATTTTATAATTTATATTCTATGTTTGCTGCTATGAATATTTCATTTTGTTTATTTTTCTTTGTATGTTTAAACAATATATTTTTATATTTTAATATTAATATTTTATTTTTTATATTAAATAGTATTTGCATATTTTTAGCTTTCATCTATGCAATTGTCTTTGCAGATGAGAAACCGGTGTATCCGCTGCTTCCTATTGGCTACATTTCTTCATGCTTCAAGTTTAAAAATGGTATTCCGAGGCAGCCCACCCTCTGTCCTTCCGCCAGGGGAACACTCAAGATAGAAAAATCTGTATTTACAAATCCAGAACACTCATTAATTGGTTTAGAAGAATTCTCTCATGTTTGGTAACTAATATAATAATAAACTGTAAATAATATACTTTTCTTGAAAAGATAATTTTAAAAAAAAGGTCTGATTTAAAAATCCAGGGACTGAAGGCACATAGGTCAGGGTGCGTAGCATTTGTAAAAGGTACTTAAAGGTGCTTTTTTGGGGATTTCATTTTTAAAAGCTTTTAAATGTGCTTTTTTCAGCTGGTGTTTTTAAAAAGTGCTTTTTTTCCACAAATAATTTTTTTTTCTTCAGTGATATCTGGCAGATCCCCTGCATTTTACGAAAAATGGGGTGTTTGCTACGTAATCATTCAAGCGGACTTCATGTCGTACCCACGTTATGACTTGCGCATGCGCGCACACTCGAAACTGAAACCCGAGTGCTCTAATTCGGATAGAGTCAGATCCTTATTAAATGTTTTTCTTTTTAATTTATTTTAATTCTTGTTTATTTTATTTTACTTCTAACACTTTTTTGATGTAGGGGGTAAGGGTACTTTTGTTCTGAGTTCAGGGTCAAGTTGAATTCACTCGAAGATGTGGGAAAGTACTGATTGTTTTGATTTACGTCCGTTTCTTTTTGGGTTTTTTTAACGCTAAAACTCTAACTTTTTGTTTTTCAATAATATCATTGATTGAATATGAATTTTTTGAGTGCTTGAAAATTTTTGTAAAGTACTTGAAAAGTTTTTAAAAAGTGCTTATTTTTGATTCAAAGATTTGGCTACGCACCCTGTAGGTGTCACAGGGTTGTCACTTTATAGGGAGAACTGAGAAAATAAAGGAAATTTAAAAATCCCTTAAAATTACAGTGAATTTTGAGTTTTCCTTCCAAACTTTTTTGATATTTTTGAAAAAGAAATGCTTCAGCATTTGAAATTTCATTGTTTACGCTGGGTCGACCTGAATTCAATTTTTTCTAAACTTTGAACTACCAATAAAGGTGAGACAGAATTTTCCCTGAAAAGTTTCTTCTATGGTTTAGAGTCCACTTAACAGGTCACATATGTTAATTTGGATTATTTAAAAAATTTTTGCTTCATACTCAGAGTTGCCACTCTACGGGGAGAACATGGAAAATACGGGAAATTTTAAAAAAATCTTAAAATAACAGGGAAAATGTGTGGAATTTAGAGTTTTCCCTTACTAACTGGGAAAATACAAGGAATTCTATTTCGTCATTTTAAAAGTGGTGACCTCTCAAAGGGCATTTTATGAGATATTTAAGGATGATATTTCAACTATACTAAAGCATTATTTATTTTAAGTAGGTTAAGGTGTTCCTTATTCATGGTGCGTAGCATTTTTAAAAAATACTCAAAGGTGCTTTTTTTATTGGGTGTTTCTGAAAAGTGCTTTCATTTTCTCTTCTTTTTTTTTTATTGGGTGTTTTTGAAAAGTGCTTTAATTTTCTCTTTTCGAAAATTAAATTTGTAGTTCTTTACCATGTTGATTTTCGCCGCGTATTATACTAAAGCGTGGATTTCACATTGTACTATTCAAACCCAATGCATTTCGGCTTACTGTCGGTCTGCAGCATGTGAAAGTGCCTATCATTTTACATGTATGATGAAATACTTGCTGGGCTTGGCTAGATGCTTGCACTGTCATGTGCAACTCTGCTGCATTTTGCAAGATATTCAAAATTTCAGGCTTCATTTTCCACCCTCTGAAGTCAAACCGAAAAATCTCTCGATCTATTTATGGTGGCTAATGTAATCGAGACAAAGAATTCTTTGTCAGAAGCTAGTTATTTTATCAGGATCATGTAATGTCTTTGAAAATTATTTTGCATTTTTTCAATGTATACAGTGCTTAAAAATATTTTTTTAGTACTTAAAAAGTACTTACAAGGTGATTTTTTTTTTTTGTTAATATGTTTATTTATATAATGCTGTTAAATTACTTATACCTATAAGTAAATTATGATATTAGTAAATTTGAACTTATATTCATTTAAATTTTTCTTAATTTACAATTTTAATAGACAAGTAAAACACGATATTTATTATAATTTAGTTCCCAGAAATGTGGAAACTCTGACTCCAGGCCTCACAGGTGTTACGATAAATCAGGCATTGATACATTTAAACATTTTGTACAATCTAAAAAATCCTTTTATTCTGCAAATTTAGGATATACTTTTTAAAAGTATCTAGATAGACCTGGTAATAGATAAAATAACCCTTTTTGTAATACACTTGTTGATAATTTTTAAATATATATATGTAAATGCATACATACATATATATATATATATGACTGTAAGGGCGCTTTTTCATTACACGACACGATACCGACAAAATAGGACGACAAATGTGTGAACGACAATGTCGTTGCCGGATCATTTAAGCAATTGTTTTTTCACTTGTCCGATATCGTTAGTCCGAGAAGTAGAAATTCTTGTTCATTCTGTGTTTTGAGCTTGAGTGTGTAGAGACATAAAATTTAAATAATTTATTTGAACGTGTTTTGAAAAATTATAAGTTTTAGTTTTGAATTCGTTTTGGCAACGGAGTTAGATATATAATAAATGTTGTTGTGTTCTAAAATGTTTAAGAAATAAAATATGTTATTTTTTTGATAAAATTATTTGTAGTATCGTAAATTGGCATTCATTTAATTTAGTTGGCACAAAGACCCAACAAGTGAGCAGTTGCTTGTGTTCTGCTGTGATTTTTTTCTGCAAACTTTAAATATGCCGGATGATAATCGTCGTCTCAAACTTCTTACTTTATTTTAGAAGAAAAAAGCTAGCAGTGCAGAAACGTTTTTGGGTGCACGAAATGGTACTTACGTATTAACGCCACAGCAGCTACAGATTTGGCGGTTTTTAAGTGCCGCCAATCTACACTTAAAATTATGTCTGTAATCACTTAACATTACTTAAATTCTTTAAATGTTTTAAAGTATTAACGTTTTTTTCAAATCGAATTAAAATATTAGTTTCATTTAGAATAATCTTTTTAGATGATTTTTTAAATGAGTTTTATCAAATTTATCTTATGAAGCCGTTCTATCATGTTTCAAAAAAATGTTTCAGTTGAATCAGGGAACAGACTTTATATTATTCAATCAAGCAGAAACCAGTAGTTAGATCGAGTTCTGTTTGAAATACATAAGGGTCTTTATTTGCCTTTTTATCAAACCATTACTATTATAAAAAATACCATCCCTTCATTAAAGCATATAATGAATTTATAAAAATTTTCAATGAAACTTTTATGATTGTTTACGTCTTTCAACCTCATTATAATGTAAAAAATGCAACTTCATGAAATTAAAAATGTATAACCAGGCATGAGAATAAATTATATAAAACTTTTATTTTCGAATTTTACATTTGACATGATCTAATAAAATATTAAAATTTATTAAAAGAATAAAATAATGATATCAAAAGAGAGATGAAACAGGAAAGATACACAACAACTAATAAAATCGCCACGATTTGAGGAGAAATTTGCCTGCCTAACCAACGTTTGATTCCGACAAACGATATCATCTTGTCGGATACAACATAATGGTTATCGTATCGGTGAGTGAAAAAACGCTCCGTTGCTGACCGTGTATTTTACTTGACCCTATGTCGTTCGCCGACAATCGGATCCGTTTTGTCGTTATTCGTGTCGTGTAATGAAAAAGCGCCCTAAGAGCAAGATATCGCTGCTTAAAATAAAAAAATAATCTGCAAATATATTTGGACAACGTTGCTAATTAAACTATCTACGAGGGCTATCCTCAAAATATCCTATTATTTAGAAATTTAAAAAATCTGATTTTTTTAAGATTGAAGTTATATTAATTTTCTTGCTCAGTTTCCAAATTTAGAACATGCATGGGTGCCACTCTTCAGTCCTGGGGACTGAAATCAGTCTTGAGTGAAAATAAATTAATCTCCTTTCCATTAAGTTTCATAAATTAATCTCCTTTCCATTTGTTTTTAATAGCAAAATTTCTGTTTTTCCTTAAGAATATTTTTAAAAAATTTCGACTAAATAAAAAAAGAATACATTTTAATGTAAACATTGTTAATTTTCATAATTATTATGCAATTATCAAGTAATGATGTAGCTCATTAATGAGAAAATGAGATCGAACTTTAACGCCTGCTTGCTTAAGCAAAATTTGTACCATTGTTGTACCTACATTTTCTTGTTTTTATTTTTCCTCACCGTTTTGAAATGATAAATTGTTAAATTGGGTTAAATTGAGATTATTTATTTATTTATTTATTTTTTTTTTTAAATATTGAGGTAGGGCAAAAAATAAATGATCATGGAATGAAAAATAAGTAGAGATATGTATAGCGTTGTGAAAAAATTAGTTGTTTATTATTCAGTGGTTGATGTACAAGGTTAGATGTTATTTTAATCTTGTTTGCTGTAATAAAAAAAAATTATAAAATGAAGGGGAAAAAACTCTATAGTTGATTTAATATATGAGAAAGAAAGGTACGTTTTGGAGTCGAGCTATTAAATTCTGAAAATTCTAGTGAACAACTCTAGATTGTGTTAATTGATCAAAAAAATAAGTTCAGTTTTGAAATATTTTTAGAGTGGCACCCATGAGAACATGGCAGGGAGCTAGCGGAACATAGGCATACACAGATTTATTTGGCGATTATATAAAAACATTTAACATTTAAAATAATGTACAAATTATAGAAAATATATGGTATTTGTGTATACCAAGATTTATGTTTTTCTTTTGAGTTTTTTTTAAAATTATTTATATTTAAGTTTTTTAAAATTATTTATATTTAAGTCACAAATATTGTTAACATTTAGTTTTTATTTATTAAGAAGAAAATTTTTTCAATAACTAAGGAAATGAATTATTGTACAATATCAATATTGTTGTTTTTTCTGAAAATTTTTAACTCTTCATTGATTAACCTTATTATAATTTTCAGTTATTTCTCAGTACAAAGTACACCGAATTTTCAATAATGTTTGCTTAGTGATTTTCCATGTACTTTGTCATTTGTAATAAAATTAAATCCAACTGCTTTTGTTTCAAAGAATTTTTTTTTTAATAATTTCTTTATTAAAACATGTTTATAACAAAACTTTCTTTCTTTTCATTTGCCTCAAAATTTTCTTTGATTCTTTCCAAAGATTTAAATGTTATAACTTGGGGTGCTTTTTCAAAAATCTTTGAAATTAGTTTGAAAAAACATTGTTTTCAGCTGTAAGACTAAGGTTATCATGTAGTGTTTCCAATTTTACTTTTGAGTGAAAGTTGGACAGGGTAAAAACATGGACCATTTGTTGGCTATATTTTATACACCAGACCTCAGGTTGTACAGTGTGCACATTAAAGCATGGACCACCATGAATAATTTTTGGTTTAATAATCGGATCTTCACATTTTAAGAGTCAATCTTCATAGTTCGAGGGGATGACCACAAATATGCTAATTAATTAGTGCAGACGATGTTTTAAGTTACAAAAATATTATTTCTCTGAATAAACACACCTTTTTACTACCGATTCGATTTCTGACCCCTTGACCAGGAGAGAGATCCAAAGTTCTGTTCCCGTAATGTTACTTTTACTTTTTGCGTATTTCGTCATATCTCAAGAACTTTTAAAGCGAATTGAAAAAATTTTGCACACAATTATAAAATTTGCTTATCCAAAGATAATTCTATGCCGAAATTAGTTTTTATTGAATATTTATTTTCATTATTTTATTTTATAATTTTCGAAAACATTTTGAATTATAAGTTGTGCAATTTGTAACATCATTTTAAAGAATGCAATTTTGCATAGCAAAATACAAAATTTGAACGAAATTGGTCAAATAATTCCTGAGAAATTGAATTTTAAAAAAGTCATTTTTTAAAATTTGATTTTTCAGGAACTAATTAAATGATTTTGCTCAAATTTTGTCTTTTGCAATAAAAATTCCATTCTTGAAGATGATTAATGTATACCTTCTAGCTCTAAGTTTCTTTGACTGTCATTAAATAAAGTAATAGAAAAATAATAAGTACTTTACTAAAAGTTATTTTTTGCATGAATATATCTTTGAATAAATGAATTTCATAATTGTGTGCAAAAAAATTTCCATTTGACTAAAAAATTCTTGGGATTTAAAATAATATTAACATTAAAAAATGCTCTCCTGACAAAACTATTGGATCCCTATTTCCCAGATTGCAGCTATTTAGGGAGGTAAAAATTAGAATCCATCAACAAAAAAAAAAGATGTGTTTATTCTGGAAAAGTATGTTTTGGGGTCTGATTCCGTAACTTAAAATATTGTCTGCACTAAATAATTAGAATATTTGAAGTCTACCCAACAAAACATTAAGATTGAGTCCTAGAACATGAAGAACAGATCATTAGTCCAAAAGTCATTCAGGGTGGTCCATTTTTCATTTTGCTAACTGTACTTTAAACCTTAATTTATTAATATCCTGCTAAAAATAATAATAGTTAATATTTTTCCGAAGTCTAATGAATAAAATCAATTTCAGGATTTTGTTTATATTTCATGAAAATGAGAATGTTGGTGTGAAAGCTAAAGTTCATCCTCCCCGCCTTAATGGGACATCAGTAGGAGTTTTCAGCACTCGCTCACCCCACAGGCCTTCACCTGTTGGACTATCATTAACAAAATTAGACAAAATAGAAGGTAAGGGTTGATTCCTATTATTTTTTTACACTTTATTGTACATATCAAGAAATATCTAAGTTCAAAAATAATTAGATGAACTTACATTTATAGCCTTACCAGGTGATTAAGAATGAAAATAAATTTTTCCCATAATTATATAAAATTTATGTGTATATTTGTATCATTGTTGTAAAAATTTTTTTATTTTTTTCCCCTTTAAATGTATTGTAACAATTTGTTAAATAGATTTTTTTTATTCAAGGAATTTTTAAAATTATTAAATTTAAAGAAATACTGCTTAAATATGAGTATATGAAAGATTGAATTTAATTAAGATTGAATTCAGTTCTATGAATTTAATTAAATCCTCATTGTGATGCAACATGTTCGATGAGAGATACCATAGTTTACTACAAATGCATTTAAAAAGTTAGCCTTCAAACTTTGATCTGTCAGCCGCAGTTGAATATTGGCGGATCTGTACCATTTTATTACGAAAATATTTTAAATTCTTCTTGAAAGATTCCAGTACATGTAAGTTCATTTGAATTCGCTACTTGCTTTATAGATTAAGTTTTGTGTTTTGTTCTGTATTTTTCCTTTTTTTTTATTTTCTGTTTTTTTTCCTTGGTTTATTTTTTTACCTAATGTGTTCTATTTTCATTTTTTTTTTNTTCGTATAATTTTTACCTAATGTGTTCTATTTTTTTTTTTTTTTTTTTTTAGTACTCCTTACACTATTGTATTGATATATTTTGTGTTGGCTATATTAATACAATATTAAAAAGCACTCCTTTTTACAGACATAATCGTGTGAGCTGATCTCGAGATTATATCCTTTCATTATTTTATTTTCTGACTTTTTAACATTTTTTTATAATTAAATTTTTTTTCTTCTTTTTTTTTAATATTTTTAAAAATATTTTATTTTAATAATTTTTCTTTTTTTTTAATCTTTATTATTTTCAATTTTTTTTCTATATTTTAACTTTTATATATATACATATAAACATGGTGTGTATGCTTTGTCTGTCAACTATTTTCTGACCTTATCTGCAAATACTTCAATTGAAATTTCCTTTTTCTCTTTTCACAGGTGATACGCTTTATTTATCTGGCATAGATCTGCTTGATGGAACACCTGTCATTGATATTAAACCCTACATCCCTATGTATGACAATCCATTCCTCATCAACAAATCTACTTTTGAAGAGTGTGGAAGTGATGAAATTCAAGGTTGTTGATCTCATATTCCAGATTAAGAATTTTAGTTGTACAATATAATCTCTTTTTTCTATAACTCCATTCATTAACCCATGTAGAGTCTGAGGTGTTTTTATTTTACCTGAACATTTAGTTTTCTAAATTTAATAACAAGCTGCCATTGTATAGAGTTGTTCATGAGACTTTCCAATTAAAATTCATTTTATGTAAGTAGAGGAACAGCATACTCCCACTGGTTTTCAAACAAATCCCAATTTTTCATCAATTTTTAGCTGTTTCTTATTACATAGTGTGTAACATTTTTAAAAAGTACTTAGAGGTGCTTTTTTTAATTTTTGTCTTTTCATGGGGTGTTTTTAAAAAGTCTTTAATTTTCCTCCTCCGAAAATGAGATTTTTTTTTCTTCTACCATGTCGATTTTCGCAACTTTTTATGCAAAAGCAATGGTTTTCAAATTCATTCAACCACAATCCATTTCAGCTTACTGTTGGTCCATAGCGTATGAAAGCGCCAATCATTTTGCATGTTTGTTGTTAAACTTCTGAGTCCGCATGTGTGTCTACTGAGCTGGGTTTGGTGAGATTCTTGTGCTCACATGTGCAACTCTGCTGCATTTTGCATTCAGCCTTCATTTTCCACCCTCTGGAATTGAACCGAAAAATTTCTCTATATTTTTATGGTGACCATAATATAATCAAGAAAAGAGTTCATTGTCAGAAACTAGTTATTTTATCATGATCATGTAAAGTCTTGGAAAATCATTTTGCTTATGTATATAATGCTAAAAAAATATTTTTGAGTGCTTAAAATGTACTTAAAAGGTGCTTATTTTTGTTAAAAGATTTGGCTACATTGATGCAAACATGCTAATTGGAAGGTTTTAGGTTTGAGTCAGGTATTTGTGCCCAATCTTAGGACCTTAAGCAACAAAGTGTTCTTGGCAAGCTGTGCACAGTTTGCATACTACTCGCAAAACTTTCCTCCACGTCAGTTATTTTGTAGTTTAATTGTATTTAGTTTGTCACTTTAATTTCATTTCAAATGTTGTTTTTTTTAATATTTTGAAATGTTTGATAGACCAAAAAAAAAAAGTGTAGCAATGCTTATAACAAAGCACTACAAATATGATATCTTTGTCCACTCTAAAGTAACAAATTTGAGTAATATTTCAATTGTTTCTTATTTTGAGCACCAAGTCTTTTGTTGATAGATTTTCTGTGATTGTAAAAGTTTCAGAAATGATGACAAAGCTAGTTTCTTGATTTTTCAGAGAGTCAATTTTGAGCTTTACGTTGCAATGACATTTCAGAACAAAAGCTTTTCATTCCTTCACTGATATCGACACAAAATGGTGTAAAGTCAGTAGCGGAAAAAGTAATGCCTACAGTGTATTGGTGAAGTTAAAGCTGGCAATTTTAACTATTTTTCTCAGAGATACAACCTCTGAGATAATATTTAGTCACATAACAAAAATACTGACTTAATTCTGACTTAAAACATTGGTGAATTCGCTAACTGAGGTGGCAAACCAGAAATTGTTTCAGAATATTTTTTACTTAACATTTTTAAACAATGCCAAATCTGTCCCTCAATCTGTTTTACGAAAATAAATTTATTTAATATTTTCATTGGTAAAAAAGTTACTTATATAAATTTAAAGAATGAGTGAATTCAGTTTTTATTCTTGTTTTCTTTATTACGCAATACTGTGGCCACAAAAAGTCTCATATTTTCTAAATTTCCAAGATTAACAGTTTTGCTAGTAAAAAAAAAAAAAAAATTATTTTTAAATTAGTTTATTCCAGCATTTTCTTTATTCACTACAAAAAATTTTTGTTCATTTAAAGTTAGAAAAGTGCCCCGGATCCCAATTAGGCTAAGTCGAGCCCTGGATATGTGAGAGGCAGAAATTAAATTACTTGACTAGATTATTACTTTATTACTTGATGATTACTTGACTAGATATTACTTGACTTGATAGGTTATTAACTAGACATTAGATTGCTTGACTAGATTACTAAGCATGTGATAAACTAACAGAGATAGTCAACTTAAGAGACCACTATACCACGGAAAAAATTCTTCAAGACACCTACGAAAGCAATTTAAAATATAAAGTTTAGAAAAAGTGAGAGTACAGGTAAACCTAGAGCAAACTTTGGTGTTTCAAATTCTGAATTTTTTTTAATTCAAAATATAAACAAATTATGGCACGATTACGCTGCGAGGATTTAATCCTTCCATAATTTGTTTGCATTTTGATATTTTCGAAATATTGATATACTCTGCAGGGAGAACATGGAAAACCTGGAAAATGCAGAGAATTTCGAATTTTTCCTTACAAACTAGGAAAATACAGGGAATTTTATTTCTTATTTTCAACTTCTAAAAATGATGACCAATCAAAGCACAATCTATGGCAGGGGTTTCCAACTTACATGAGGCCGGGGGCCGCAACTTAATAAAAAATTTACATAGGACTCTTTTATGTTTGAAGGAACATTAAATATTACTGTCAGATTTTTATCAAGTTGTGCAAAACGAAAGTATTGAATTGCAAATTAAAATAAGAAGTAGATTTTTTCCTGAGAAAATTTTTTTTTTTGCACCATTGGTTTTTTACATTTCACAGAAACGAAGAAGTTAGGGGTTTTTTAACGAAAAAAGTATTTTAAACCCAAATAGATTTTTTACGAAAATTGTCAGTAAAAAAATGACATCTAATATATTTTAGTTCGCGGGCCGGGTGTTGCCAGCGGGCCGCCAATTGGTAACCGCTGATCTATGGGATATTTAAGGATGATATTTCAGCTATGCTCAAGTATTTCATTTACTACAGCATTATTTCTTTTAAGTATGGTAATCAGTTCCTTATTTCTTTAAGTTTTTTTAGCATTTGATTGTAGTATAGTTAGCTTAATTTAGCTCACTCAAGAGCACAGTGTGTGTGTGTTTTCTTTTAATATATTGTGTATAATATGTACAGGGATTTTTTTTTCCACATTAGAAAGGCAACCCTGCTAATAAAATAGTTGATGTATCCTAAATGCCTATGGTTGATAAATTACTTGTAGGAATTTATTTGAATTTTTTTAGGAATTTATTATTATTTATTTCTTGTAGGAATTTATTTGAATTTTTTATTTGATTCTGTTGTATCAAATTCAGTTTAAATTTAAACAACGTAAAATTTTTATGAAGTGTTTTTAACAATCTTTCATTTGTTTGCAAATTTAAGCATATGTGTATTTGATTAAGCTGAATTTTTACTATTATAGTCTTTAAATAAATAATCCCAAGAAGCTGAACTGGTTCAGATATTACCTGAATAAAAACATTTGAAGTGTTTCAAGCGCTTCCAAAATAGGTGCCCATTTTCAAAACTTGCCAGACATGAAGGAAAAGAAACAAAATTGGTTTGAAATTTTAAAAGAAAACGTTAAGTTGCCGGCTGTAAATGGAAAAATAAAGGTGAGAGACAAAACTAAAAAATCCAAAATAGCAGAGAGAGAGAAAGAAGATTGAAAACAGAACCAAAACAAATCGGGGTATGCTCAGCTGTTCCTCATTTCTTTAAGTTTTTCTAGCAATTAAAAGTAGTATAGTTAGCCTAATATATAGCTCACTGAAGAGCGCAGTGATTGTGTGTTGTCTCTTAATATGTATTGTGTATAATACATACAGGGAAAACATAGGGAATTGTTTTTCCAGATTTGAGGGGCAACTCTGATACTGCATTCTTTAATTTTTACCATCAACTTTTATATTTTATTTCTACTTGTCTTTTTTGTAGTTAAAACTAATATTCTAATATTTTTACATACAGATATAGACCTTCTCAACCAAGATACTGATGAAACTGACTTGAAACTTGACCAATTGAAAATAACTTCAGAAGAAGGTGCAAAAAATAGCCAAGGATGTAAAATTCCAGAATTCCTTCGTGAACCTCCTAAAAAACTTGAAGTTGTATTTACAAACAGAGCTCTGATCGATTTGGAGAACCTTAAAATGAGCAACAAAGAAGAAACTAGTTGTGGTGAGTGTTCGAACCATGCCGAAATCAAGAAATCTATCGTAGAGGTGTTGCAGAATGATCCGAGATCTATCTATCGAAAGGAAAAATGTTCTGACAAACTATACTATTTTTACATTAACCATATCCATGTTACAAGTTGGTTTGATGACCAAACAGCTGAAGTTTTAAGAATTAAGTTATCTAGTTCAACACCAGAATGAATTTTGCATAAATTGAAATGTGTAACGTGTATCTAGTGATCGGAATAACCTGATTTTTTAGAACATAAAAAAGTTGGGGGGAATTTCTGAAAGGGGCCTCTCTCTCTATAGAAGCAGGGAAATTCAGTCGACTTAGGAAGTTCTTGGAAAAATAGCAATTGATTACAATTGCAACTGAATGTGTTTTCATTTATTGTTCTTGTCATCAGTGCTATTTTTAACAACATACCAGCAGTTTACAATACAGTACAACATACAATTACCGTTCTCTTTGGCAGGTTATCGTATATTTAATGTTAATAAATAATTCAAAATAATAATTTTGTTATTTCCATTTTCTAAATTAATGCCGACCGGACTGAATAGGGGTCGGGGAACTGGCTTTGCATCAGATAATATCATGAAATTTTCTAATATCATGAAATTTTAATGTGCAAAAACATTGAAGAAATGAGCAATTTTCTGTATATATTGTAAATTCTTAAAGATTAGTGTTTTTAAATTATTTAAAATCGCAGTAATTTATCTTACAAAATTCTGTTAAATGTTCAGAATTTCTAGAAATCTCAGAGATTTTATCTGGAGACTGGCCAACCTAAATTTTTACATTTAAAATGTTAAATTCCTGAGAAAAAGAACATTAAAAATATAATATATTTAGAGTGTCTTGCAATTTAGATAATCTTGGATAGTTTAGAAATTTTTTTTAGACATTAAAGAGCTTCTTAGTTGAGAAAAAAGCTAGGAAAATGCTTAATGATAACTTAATTTTGATTCTTAAATTTTTTAATTCTTAATTTTTTTTAATATTGTTATATATTGTCTGTTACTTTCTTGTGTATTTATTTTTTCCGACTCTAACCTTCATATGATTTGTTCATATTTAATAAAAAAACAGTATTTCTGTATTATACATTAATAACTGTTATGAGAGAAATAGGAAAATTCATTTTAAGTAAAATTGTCTACAGCTTCACTTTAATCTATCATATACATATATATGTAATTTTTAATTTTTCTTTTTAGTGAAAATGTAAGAGAATGTCTAATAAATATTATTTAGGTGTTAAATTGGTGTGGATGATTTTATTATTAATTCTATAATATTTCACTAATTAAGGAATTTAGGATAATATTGTAATAAAAAAGTGGTTCTAGCAATTTTAGCATAATAGTCTGGAAATTTCAAGCCAAAACTTTACCAGGCTTACCAGTATTTATTTTTAATATTAATTACAGTGTTGGTTTTATCCAGTGAAATAATAAGATAATGTGTATAAATTATTATTTACTGTTTAAAATAAACTTTAAAAAAATGAAGTCTAAATGTGGATTAATATGAAATGGAACTTCTGAATTTAAATTTAATTATCATATTTGAATGAATGATACCACTTTAGTTTGATTTTTATTTAAGCGTAAATACTTTTAAAATTTATTTAACTTGTAGTTTGTTTATGTAAATACTGAAGAAAGACTTGTTCTGAGAAGAGTAATTTTGAATAATTGATTTTGTTTCCTAATTTAAATTAATTTATTCATCATTTGATATCTGACAAATTGGGTCTTTGTCCTTGCAAATTCACGTAAACTTTGAGCTTGAATTTAAAAAATATATATATATTTAAATTTTTCTGCAATTAGTTTGCAATATTTATAGTTTTATTTAAATTATTTTAGCTAGAAATAAACTACTTTTGTTACAATGTTATTTTTAAATACTATTGAGCATTATTAATATTTTTTTATCAGAGCTTTTATTGGTTTATGTCAAAATAAAATTTTATTGAAAAGAAGAAAAAGAATCTAATTTTATTATTTTTTTAATCATGATTTTTGCCAAACCTAGAATTAGAGCTGTGATGGCTCAGGGGATAGAGCGTTCACCTTCCAATGAGGTTAACCGGTTTTAAATCCCAGCAATAGCTAGTCGATACATATTCCGCATCCGGCTTGCACTGACCACAGTGTAAAATATGCTCAATGGTAGACGAATCATAGGTTAGTCCCCTTGCCGTCCGGCTAAGTATGGGAGGTTTTCCTCTCCATGTAGCACAAATGCCGGTTGGTTCCACTAAAAAATCCTCCATGAAGGCAAATTTTTCACAATATTTGATCTAGGAGTTCTTGTGTCTTCTGGATTGGGTTCAAAATTATAAGGCCGAGAGGTTTAGTAGTCGTAAACCCAATAATTGGTTTTTGACTACTAATGTTCAGCTCCACAGCCTTGTAATGCGGTGAACTGGGTTCAAATTCTGCATCCGGCCACAATGTTTACATAAAATGTCCGCAGTGGTAGACGGATCATGGAGCGTCCAGCTAACCATGGGAGGTTTTCCTCTCCATGTAACACAAATGCAGGTTAGTTCCATCAAAAAGTCCTCCATGAAGGCAAATTTCTCCCAATACTTGATCCAAGAGTTCCTGTGTCTTCTGGATAGGGCTCAGAATTACAAGGCTATGGAGTTGCACATTAGTAGTCAAATACCCAAAAATTGGGTTGGTGGTTATATATATATATAAAATTTAATTCATAACCAACACTTTTGGCAAAAGGGTGAAGAAGGTGACAAACTTATTTAGCAAAAAACTTTATTTTTAAAAACTTCATTTACAGAACACAAAAGCATCCAAGAAAGACATTTATACATTAGAAACAGAAAATATCTGAAAAATGGATATTAATAATCACACAGCATTTCTGAAATGACTCCAGACATAGAATAATATTTATATGTGCAAGTGTGTTCAAATTTTTAAAACTTTTTTTTTTTTTAGAAAAAAACAAAGTTTTTAATAGAAATCTCAACTACAACATTTTTCCACTGAGTTAGTCCTGGGAGGAAATTAAGATGGATGTGGTGTGCCAGGCTTCATATTAGAAAAAAAAAACAAGCAGCTTTAACAAGGTGATTGTAGAGAAACACATCTATTTCTTTATAAAATGAATGTGAAACATCATGATACAGACAAACACATAAAAGGAACTTCCATGTTTCTCATTAGGAAAATCCTTTCTGTTTTTCACCTTTATAAATTCCATCTGAATATGAATTAAGGCCAATTAACTCAGCCGTTGGATGAAGAAAATCTAATATCAGCAAAAAAGAACTTTTTACAATTTCACCACTCTTTTATTTTCTTGAGTAGTGCTCCCATACTGCACTTATCTTTCTGCACTTAACATTTAGATTTAATGTAATTTACGAGAAATATATAATATATCCAAATATATTTTCCCCTTTATGCTATTTTAATTCTTAGTTTTTTAAGAAATTCTTTTTTTTTTAATTCCTTAGTTTCTAAATGATTTTATCTTTTTTTTAAAAAAAAGAAAAGTTTTCTTTAGCTGTTAAAAATGGCTTAAAATCCCTTTCATTTCTTTAGGCTTTTTTACGATTTTCTCCCTTAGTTTCTTTGACTATTTTACATTTTTTAAACTTATTTTCAAGCTATTTCAGTTGATGTTCTCTAGTAACTTAATTTAAATTAAAAAATAGAAACGGGTCTAGTTTTTTTTTCCTTGAATGTAATTTTAAATGAAAACTTATATTTAGATGAAAGTGTTAGTTTACAACTATAATCCCCCCCCCCAAAAAAAAANTTTGCCCCCCCCCAAAAAAAAAAAAAATTTAAATATGTAATTAATTTTCTAGGAAACATTTTTGATTTATTATAGAAAAATATTTCACTTAAACAAATTCAATGTGAATGTCCCATGTTTCTTTACTCGGCTGTTATTAACTAATTAAAGCATGCTATTAACTTTGAGACACCAATTATTGCCAAAAAATGTGTTGCCCAATGTTAAAATTAATAAATTTTCTTTTATCAGAGCCATAGTAAGAATTTTTTTATTGTATTTTTGTTTATATATAATTTCAAAATTCTCCAAACAAATGCAAATTTATCTATTTCTCAGTTTGTTTTTTCATGTTTAAAGATTATTGATATATACATTATCCACAGCTTAATGTGTTTACCTACACACATGCTTGTAGCTCACACTGAGAAAGATCTGTGCAGAATGAGAGTGTGTTAAATACCCGAATTGGAAGCCATTCACCTGAGCACTTGATACGTTTTTCCAACCTTTCACACACACACATACATACAGACACATTTGTGCATCAACACCATTAAATAATCTTTCACTAAATGATCAATCATTTAGCACTGTTTCCTTTTTAATGATCATTAATCATTTAGCAGTTTGTTCTACGATAGCTGTACATACATACAATGCAAAGCTATCAGATGTAAACTTACTGAATGAAAATTCAAATACTTGTTTTATTAAATAAAATTTAAACAAAAATATTGCACACAATCAAAATTTCAATTGCTGACTCGATTCTAAATAGTACATATATTTCCAAATAATAGAAGAAAAAAAATTCCTATTACAGTAGAACTCCATTTATCCAAGTTAAATCAAATGTTCAGATAATTGACAAAAATGATGAAAGAAATGAAACAAATAATTTTTAAAATACAACATATTAATTTAATGACTACAAAAATAATTTGTTTGCTTTTTAACACTATTTTCAACTAGTAATAACTTTGCTAAAATAAAATAAAATTTTTGTCTTAGATAACAATTACTACTCACTTTTTTTTTTCTTTCTGAAGTAATTAGAATAACTGGAATTCTACAGTATTTTCAACTAGCGTAGATAATTTCTTATAAAAGTTTTTAAAAAATATGTATAACCAATTCTAGATACTAGATTTATAAAATTAAGCTGAGAGTAAATGGTTAGAATTCTCAAATTCTAAGCATTTGCAAGATTTTTTTTTTTAAACAATAATAATATAACCGCACTGAAGTACTGAATGCCAAATAGTTTAAAGTATTCAAAAAAAAATTTCAAATCTAATAAGTAATCATTTTTTAGAAATAAAATTTTATTTTTTTTTAAAACTCAAATATAAAAATGAAAACCTTAATTCAACTTATAACAAAAGATAGCATCAACTTAAAAAAAAAAAAAACCGAGGAAGAGAAATAATATTAAGCATAAAACTTTTTATATAACTTCCATTAAATACTCAACTTATAATAGAAAACATCAACTAATATAAACAGTTTCAATGGGGTTGTCATATGAAGTGCAAGACATTTCAGAACTATTGAAGGATGCAAATACCATGCTTTCTTAATCCTTTATTTCCTTTCCTATTCACAACCAGAATATGTGCAAAACGCATACTGTAGTTTAAATATTAGAAAACACACACAATGAGCATATTCACAACAATTTAAAAATATAAACTATGTACTAATTTGATTTCTATAATCGTAGAAGCCTGTGTGTTTTTTTTTTTAAAGAGTAACAATACAAATTGTGGAGGTAGATATATCAGTAGTGTGCAGCGTACCACTAAATAGCTATATATGACAATTTAATGCTTTTATCCATTATGAGAATCTCAGTTAACAACAATTTCACAATGCTTGAGCATAGTTAAACATTTTTCAATTAAAAAAAATTCAATTTCAAACTTAAATAATATATATATATTTTACAATCAATAGTTCCCTTGAGATGTATTTCTTTTTAGTGACAAAGAATAAGAAATGTTACCTTGAGATTGTTTTGAGTGTTCAAGAAAAAGAAATTTGATTCAATTAGATAAGTTTCCTTAAGATGCATACCTTTTAACAACCCTAGCAGCAAAATACCTTGGGCCCTTATAGGGCCAATATTCATGAATTTTGCCTCCTCGATAATTGTCCAAAGGGCTGTTTTTTTTCCCGATATTGGCGCTATATAGAGTTTTCCGATTCACCCGATATTTTATATAAATTATTTAGCCAATGTAGGTTTTATATTGGCCAATGTAGGCCATTCTAGGACCACTATTAAAAAATCTAGACATCCCAATATTGGTCTCTCGGTGCATGTTCTTACAGGACCTATATCAATCCCGACTGAATCCAAGGTAAAGTTGTTGCTAGGGAATTAATGAGGTTTGATTAAATGAATTTCATTGGTATATTTATATTGTGCCTGTCAACTAAATAACAATGTTTTTTTTTTAAAAGTTATAGACAGTTTTTATAATTAGGTTATAGCTTTGAGAAGCTAAACCATATGTGTAACCTAGTGGTAGGGTTTAGAGCTAGACAACACTCTTAAAATAAGGCAAAATATTAAAAAAGGCTTCAGAGTTATTCAGTTATAGATGATGCTCACAAAATATATTTTAGTGACAAATGATGTCTTGTTTTTTAAGAGACAACTAATAAGAGATCTGATTAATAAATAAGAAAATTCCCTGGTTAGTATTCCGCTTTAGTGACAATTTAATAAAAATCATTTTTAAAAAAAACTTACCACTAATTATTTGAAATTAATAATATTTCATTTTTATTAAATTTAGGGTTAAACTATCTTCAGAAAATACTTATTATGCAGCTAGTCCATTAGCTAGAGATGAAGTTGTTTTTGTTTTTTAAAAAACTGATTGAACATGGAAAAAAATTAAATTTGAAGACTGATATTATGAATTATATGTGTTTTACAGTAAACATTATTTATCTTAAGAATAGTTAACATCGGAATAAGCAACTTTTCGTAAAAATTGAAAAGGTTTCATAGCAATTAAAGAAAAAAAAAATTCTTAGAAGAATTTGAGCTACAAAAATGCTAGTATCAATTAAATAATGCAGCGTTGAAATAATCAAAATTTCCCACTAAATCTTGTGAAAAATCACACACAACATAAACTGATGACTAGCCTTTCATAAAAATTTTAACAAAATGTTTATAACCACAATGGAAGCAAGATATTTAATAATTTGTTTAACACTAACGTCTTTAAGGCCAATAATGAGGTAAAGTTTTTTTTTTCCTTCTAATTACTAAACATAACAGTGGTCAGTACACTTAAAGGTATAGGTCTTTTCATGGACCTCCACAGTTACCGACCTCTGCTATAAAATCCTCCAAAATATTTCTACCGAAGAAAAAATTTCACGATGGTGTAGGGAAAAAATTAAATCACATCAAAGAAATCGAAGTGCATATTCATAGATAGATCTGAAATTATGCATTTAAAAAATATTTGTTAACCCAATAACGTTCAACAATTTTTTAAGTTTTGCCAAAATCTATTAGAATTATGAAGGAAATAAAAAAAAAATTCACTGTTAATTTTTAATACTTTAAATTGGGGAGTAAAGAGACTAACACTATTTCAAAAATAAGACATTTTGCAGTTATGAACACTTAAATTTTTTTCTTTAAATATATAATTAAATTTATTTTAATTTTAAATTCTTTTCATAACACTGCAGGAAAAAGAGCAAAAACAGGGGTCCCACTAAATTTCGAGAAGAAAAAATTCCCCCGACTTTTCCAGGTATTTCATGAAATTTCAAATGTTTAAATCTAATCCATATTTTATTTATAACAAGCAATTTTTCCCCAGAAAACTTTCATCAATTTTTATTTGTTATGTCAAGTATTAGATTTCATAAGCAAAGAAAATGTGGAATGAGGATGGATACATTAAAATATTTTACTGAAGTGTGGAATTTCTACAACAAATAATTAGAATAGATATTAAAAACCTATGACTATTACTGACTTATTAATAACCTATGACTATTACTGACAATTCTATTTCTTGGTTTTTTTTTCAGGTATGATGTAGGAATTTAATAGGTTTTCCCCGAACTGTAAGAGCCCTGAACATAACATGAAATCATACCTGAGGATAACTGAAATAGTTTATAACATAGCTGCCAACAAAAAGTTTTTTTAAAAAAAATCTAGATTTTTAAATACAAAAACTTCATGTTAACTAGAGAGAGATACATGAAATATTTGCCACAGGAGGCGATTTTTAAAATAAATTTAGGGAAAACTATAAATAGGCCACAATATTTTATAGTAATATTACATTTTAAAATTTGTAATTTTGAATAGAAAATTTTAGATAGTTGTAATATGTTCTAGATAGGTTTAAAACTAAAATATCAGAGGATAACTTAGGTCTACGCAAAGGAAAAGTTCTCTTCCAATAACTTGCTTGCATTTTGAAATTATTTTTTCAGCAATCAAAAATTCATGGCTTGCTCTAAGATTGCCTGAACTCACTTTCTCTTTCTTTTAAATTAGTAATGGAAGTGAAAGAGAATTTGCAACGTAAAGTTTCTCTCATAGTATGACGTCCTCTGAAAAGCTTACTTGTAACCCAGTCATTTAAAATGTCCAAAAGAAAAGTTTTATCCATAAAATTATAAAAATATGTCAGATAAAAGGGGAGAGGGATTTTGAAATATATATAATTAAAATATGTAAAATGAAACAATTGTCATAGATTGTTTACTATTATTTTTCTAAACTAACCATGAATTCAGATTTAGTGAGCAGCCAGAATTAATAAACATTTCCTTGCTTTTCTCAAAGGGTTTTTCATGGAGAAATGTACTAGCTGTCATGCCAGCATAGCTGCCAACAGGGATAGAGAAAAATCCTGTAAATTCTTGAAATATGAATTTTATGACAATTGTTGCAAAATGCACTAAATATTTTACACAAAGAGAGTTTTCAGGATTTTTATAGTCATCAAAATAGAGAAACTGCAATATTTTCCAGTTACGATTGACATAAAATATACTCGAAATGTTATGTATTATGTTTACTCATAATTTTGAATAGTACTAAACATTTAATTAATCAACAATAGTTAAAACATTTTTTTAACTTATTTAATTTTAGGGAATTTTCATAAATGTACAAAAACCAGGAGAATTTTTATCAAACCAGTAGAAACAGGCAAAATCCAGTAGAGTTGGCAGCTATGTGCCGGCGATGACGATTTTCTGTTTTTCATCACTCTCGCTATAAACGAGTTCTATTGTATTTACTTCTTATTAGAGTATTATTTAGTAGTATTAGTTGCATTAATTCTTAAACTAAGCTGAATAAAAAATATAATTTTAAAGAGATTTTTCGGGAATTTGGCAAGCATGTCATAATGATGAAAGTCTGTTTTATAAATTAGGATGCTGAACGCTAATGGGCTAAAGTAAACTTATATCAAGAATAAATTATCCTTATCAAGGTGGAACTTTGAAGAAAAAAAAACAAATTTAAATACCTTAATAGTATACATAAAAGCTCAGAACCTTTAGAACTACTTATAACATTCGATGTTGTAAAATCCTGTAGTAAGTTAACACCCTGAGCTTGATAGGTAACAAAGTATGTTCAAATAACAATAGTTGTCCCAACACGCCTTATGAGACAAGGAACAAATTCTTATCTAAAAAGCTCAAAGAACACCATTATACGAGTGGCTCAATCACAGTTGTGAATCAAATCTCTTTTGTAAACTAAATGTACAAAAGACTGTCAATGGATATAATCTATAATTATTAACACAAATCTTAAAGTACATAGATGGCAGTATTACACATAGAACAATAGAATATTTTTTTAACAATTGTAATCCGCATAGATAACAAAACAATTACATGATGTCGGAGAAGCGAGAGCTTTTCCATAGTAAAGTAACAAAAAGAGAGAATAAATAACGTAAAAATGATATACAACATTATGTCCTTAGCATATTTTTTATATTACTTGAAGATAACTAAATTAAGAAATGTCACAAAACAGCTTGAATAAATTAAATAGAAACTTATTTAAACTAAAAATACTGTTTATTTATTACAAACAAGATTTCAAATAAAAGCTGCATGATTAGCTATTTAAAAAGTCCAGAATTTAAATCCTGAAAACAATACTGAAGAGAAACTTTTTTTTTTTTTTTACATTAATGACCTTCAAAGGGTGTTCACTTCTGACAAGAGGAAAGTCACCGGAGATTCTTCAAAATATTCACGACATTCACGTGAATATATAAAAGCCATGCAAAACAATGTACTCACTGCTCTACATGAACACAAAAAAAAATAATAATCACTATTTACAATAAGATCACGTCTTCCAATTCATAGACCCTTGAGGGAGTGACCTCGGTGGGATCATGTCCAGTAAATATTGGCGTTGCAATTCTGCAGAACTCATGGGATTCTTCCCAAGCAATTGATATGAATATGCCTGAGCAGCTAAGAGAGGTCCAAATGGATACATATGTGCTGGCTGTGGTTGAGGCATTGTCTGTGCAAAATGTTGCAGCTGCTGCGCCTGAGCGTGCAACAATGACTGATGAGCAGCACTCAGTTTTGGCAAGTGCTGTAACAATGAGGCAGAGTTCACTAGCGAAGATTGGGAGCTACTACTGCCACTAACCCCTCCATTATTGCTCATCTTAGACATTAGTCCGTGCACAGGGCTATGAGGGGCAGGCGGAGTCGGTATAGACGGGCCACTCGACGTAACGATAGCGGGTGTTGGAGTAGAACAAGGAGTGTGGGTGGGGGATATGCCGATTGGAGGAGGAGGGCTCGACATCGCCTGTGACATTCTCTGCTCGATTTCTTGCTCCTGTTGAAGCGCTTTCACAAAGGCTGTCTTTAACCGATTGGTATGCTCTGCTTTGAGCGCTTTTTTTATGTTGGATGTGACACAAGTCTCACAGATAACCGAAGGTTTAAGCATGCGAGAGCGACCCGCATCCTGCCACTTCCACACGGGGCTAAAGTCCGTTCCACACTGAACACATTCAAACGGTTCAGGGGGTGGTCGGTTTATGTTCGGATCTTCGGTGATTAGGTCGACAACTTTTTCGAGTCCTAATAAGCATATGAATTCTTGATTGTTGGCATTCGGTACAAAGTGCATCTCTGGAGGTGGAGGTTTTGGGGGTGGAATTTGGAGGAGTGTCTTTTCTAACTGCTTTCTCAATGCTAGTTTTGCAGCTGCCTGTCTTTGAGCCGGTGTTTGGTTGTCTATTCTTTCCATTTGGGATGACTGAATAGAGGATGAGGGGGAAGGACAAGCTTGAGGAGCAGAAGCCTAATTGAAGAGAAAAACGTTATCACTTAAATATACTGAATTACATTTGATTGTATATTAGGGTATTATACAGCATTTGTATACTATTATAGTACAACAGTATCTCACTAATGACTCCAATTATGGTTCATTTCAAGAATTTTTACTATTTGAGTTAAAATTTTAAAAAAATAATAACTATTCAAGGGATAGAAATCTGAAGAAGATAAATATTGAAGATAAATCAGATAAATATTGAAATTAAATATTGCTTATTTTTTTATGCTGCTTTAATATTAATTTCTTCCCTACATCTATTTTAAAGGTATTATAAAAATAAAATATTTTTTCGTTGAGACAAATATTATTTTAAAGCGTAGCTCGCTTTTATAGAGCAAATCCCAGTTTTAGCAAGCAATATTTTTGCGATTTATAAAATTTCTACATACGCCACCTCTTTAGCTCAGCTAATTTTTGGATAAATTTGTATAACATTCAAAAGACAACTAAAATCCAGTGATGAGTCATAAATCCAGTGAGTACTTGAATTTTTTTCAAAAGCGGCAGCGAAAATGGCTATGTCTTTTTAGGCACGAGTCTTAGTTAAAGAAAAATAACACTAAATTAACTAAATTCTTTTGTACTGTACAAAAAGAAATAAATAGATACATAATTTACTAAGAATTTTTATGATTTCTTCACGACCCTACTTTTTACGAGCATTCTGATATAATCAGCAAATATTGCAGTCCTTTCGCACTATTTATAAGCCAAGCTATTTCATTTGTATATTACAAAACACTTTGCTTATATAAGAGTTGAAAATAAGCAATTTTTTTCAAGTTCTTTAGAAAAATTTATCACTTTTAAATTTTTTAAACTAAGTTATTTTCCTCACCTTTTTAGGTATTACATCTGATATTTCCAGATTGATAAAATTCGCTTACAGTTTGTTCTCCCTGATTTCATTGCTGAGTGGTCACACAAAACTATATTTTCTTTTCCAAAAATTTTATTATTTGTTTAATGAGGCAATTCTTTGACAATGTTTGTACTCATTTTGTGATTTAAAAACTGAGCAATTTTAATCACTCTACCTAAATCAGCAAAAAAAGGTGTTATGTTTCACAAAAAGTGGCATGACCATTTTTTCCAATAATAATCAAAGTTCTTCTATTTTTCATTCAAAAAATCTTATTTTCAAAGAGAAATAATTTAAATTTAAAAAAACTAAGTCCTCATAAGCTATTATTCTATTTTAAGACAAGGGTAATTTTCAAATTGTGAAAATGTTGCACGTCGTAATAATATATTAATCGATTTTTTAAAAAGGATGAGGAAATAATCGAAAAACGATAAATAATTACCAAAAAAAAAAAAAAAAAAAATCAGGTACTGCCAANTTACAAAAAAAAAAAAAAAAATAGGACAACAAAGTGGTTTAACCATTAAATAATTGTGAAGCAATTACATCAAAAAGTGATTACATAGTAAAATACAAATTTTGCAAGCAATAACATATCATATTTAAAATATCAGAATTTAAACAAAACTTCACATAAAAATTGCTGGGAAATGATAAAAAACTATCAGAAAATCATCAAAAAGCTATGTGGTACTCTGATAGAATCATGGTGAATAGAGTATGTGAAAAACTGGTGGCTCAAATACGAAATTTTTAAAAAAGCGTGAAAATTGCTGAAAAATTTTGTGGATTTACAAAGGCCTTATTGCAAAGTNTTCTCTTTGTTAGAGGAGGGCTCACAGCAAAAATTTTCACCAAAAAAATAAAACCCTAAGACTTTTTAAACAGAAAAAGATTATTTTGAAGTACTTTTTAAAACTCAAATTTTAAATTCACACGTTTTAACAACAAAGCACTAGAAAAATTAAAAAAACGGCATTTTTATTTTTAAAGTTAAAAAAATATATCGAAGTAAAATTTCTTTCACACTTTTTCTTTGGAAAAAAAAATATGAACATAAGCACCTTAAACCTAAAATAATGATATTTAATTTTTATGCTGAAAAATTAAGTACTGTTAGCACTTATAAGCCACATACAAACTCTTTTTGGACAACAACTACTCTTAGCGACTGATTTTTTGCGGAATCAAAGTGGGGACAGGAATTTTCACTATAAAAAAATAAAAAAAACTAGGTGAAAAAATTTGACTAACCTGATTAATAGGTAGCTGGTGCTGATTACTTTGAGCTGACTGAGACAAATTATGCATATTATATCCCATCACAATATTAGGTGGTGTGGTAACTGGTGTTCTTGAAATAGAATTATGACTGTTTCTCATCATGTTACCCATGATGTTAGAAGATACTGTAGAACCACTTGTAGAATTATTACCTCGTTGTCCAATCAGAGGAGGTGGAGCTCCATGAGCATTTTGATTGCATATCTATAAATAATAAAATATTATATGTTATTAGATTGTATTAAATTGACATCTGATTATATATAAATACTTGAAAAAAGAAACAACACAGTAAGAAGGATGCACAACCTATAGCACAAAAGCCAAAAACCACCCAGTGGCTAAAACATGAAGAAAGAAAAAAAATTAAATCACTCAAAATATATTGGTAAGATGCACAAGCACATTGCTCCTTATGCATAAATTAGGAATAATAACTGACAAAAAGCAATTGAAACACCACATAGACTTACGATAGTATAGGCATTCAATGAGCATGTCGAAAAGTGATTAGGTATTTAAGTGAGCAATTTGAATGTCAAAATATCATATGAGAAATATTTGAATTAAAATTATGTGGAAATCGGTAAAAATAACTGCCGAAAAGCTGAAATACAGTGGAAGAAAAGCTGAAAAACAACTAAAACATCACCACATTTGAAGTAAATTAATCAAATGCACAATTCGAACTTCAGATATTGTAATAATATTGGTATTTTAAAAAAAATAAGAATATCAATACAAACTAAGGTAAACAACGTTAAAGAGCACAAGAATATATTCTTGTGCTCTTTAACGTTGTTTACCTTAGTTTGTATTTTTGCACAAAGGTTGCCCACTTGTGTATTTAAGAATATCAATAGTAATAACTGTGGAATGAAAGACATAAGGACCTTTAAAAACCAATTGAAAATTCGTAGCGATAATTGCCAAAAAATGATCAAAACAATAGATAAATTTATGATGAAATTGGTGAAAGTTATGAGCATTAAAGTTAAGACTGAAATGTGTGATTTAAAATTTCCTTCTGCGTAATGTCATTTTAAAATTATTGAAAAGATTTTATTTAAATCAAATAAAAATATGAAGGAGAGACATACTGCCATGATTTATCAAATTCATTTGCTACAAATCTGAAGTTGTCAAAAAAACTCCACTCACAGTCATATTTTATTAAAATATAAAATAAGGTAGAAAAAAAAACATTTCTAATGTGAACTATCTTTTAAATTTTCATGATTTTTTTGAAGTTATATTCATTGCAAATTTTTTTTATTCTCAAAGAAAAATAAAAAATCTATAAAAATAAAAGGAATCTTTTGAAAATAATTCTGCAGTAAAGAAAAATTAAACATTTTTGCGTCCTAAATAAAAAAAACCTTTTTGAAATAACTCTAATATTTTGCAATAATGTCGCCATGTGGCTAAGATTCTGCTGTGGGGTTTTTACTATGCATTGCAGAAAATATAAGGTCGTATCAAAGAAAAAGTACAACACAATGAAAAGATTTCCATATAATATTTAATCGAATGGAATGCATTAACAACTAAATTACACAAGACAACTCTCACCAAAAAATAATCAGGAGCTTTAACAAAATAAAAGCAATTTTTTCTTAATTACTGTATTTCAAAAAAGCAACAAAATGTGATTTAAAAAAAAAATAAGAAAAGTGAAAGTCATCTAGAAATGAGCTTAAACATAAATATAAATTCAAAATACATTTTAAAAATACTTTTTCAGAATATATGATAATAATAATTAACAGCCGGTTTTTAAAACTTTTAACAAGTATATTGATATATCAAGCCAATAATAGATTTATCAAAAAATATGGAATTTGAAAATAATTAAATGATCTTGGAACAATTTAATCTTAGTAGTAATTTGCAGTTTTGATTAAATGGATGGTGTTTTCAATATAAATGTAAACAACAACAATCTTGAGCTCTTGACCAGCTGTACTTCCAGTTAGAAAGTATACAGCTTATTACGTGAGGTGATATTTTCAAACAGAAAAGTTAGTTTTTAATTAAAGATGTAATTTATATAATTTCTGAGCAGAAATCTGCTGCATTTCATAAGATATTAATGATATTGTTGTTGACGTATGCCTGTTTAGGCATAGGGGTGTGCTCTTACACCCCTATAAGGATGCTATATAAGGATGCTCTTACATATTAAATTATTACGATAAATTGTAAAAACTTAGAAAAACTGACTGTAGAAATTTCAATTTACAGTTTACAAAAATAAAGTGATAAATGATGCTCTAATAAGCCATATTGAAACAATTTTAAATGTTAGCCCCTGCTGACCTGAATCTTTATCAATCTAAGGAATTTTAAGTTTTATTTTATTAGTTTAAATACATTTTAAAAAGTGTATGACAAGAAATTTTTTGCGGTAAGATTATTTTTTAACATGTATAAAAATATTTTTAAAAAATCAAAGAAATGATAAATAGTAAATCATGGATCTGAGGATGAATTTCATGCTAGTCAAAATTATCAAACAAAAAAGAAAGATTGTAAAATTCAATCTTACCAATGAAGAATTCATTACAGAAGATTGGTGAGACAATTGTTGGCTAAGCATTTTGTTTTGAGATTGTGAAATTTGGCCACTTCGAACCAAAGGAGGTGGAACAGCATTAGAAGTACCCCGATTTGCACTAGGAACCATTTTGCCAGCTACAGCAGCAGCTGCTTGATTTAGAATATTTTCTTTAATCATCTGGCTTTGATGAAGTTTTTTCAAAAGAACAAGTTTCATTTCCTCACTCCTCAACTCATCTCGTAACTCCCGTAAAAGCCTCCTCTTCTCTTTCAATTCTATGGGATCCCAAACCTTTTCCACTGGAAGAGGAGGCATTTCCATGGGTTCCGGGTCCGAATTTCTAGAATCACTTTCATAGCCGTTAATGTGCCCATTAAGACGAGGTTTGTCCTCGTCCGAAAGAACAATGACGTCGGGAGAAGAACAACTACTCGCACTATTGTTAGGAGGCTGTGATTCGCTACTAATGTGAAGTCTTTTGCGAGGTAGCATACGCACATGGTGAGATGATTTACTTCTTTTTAATTCAGAATTTCTTTCTCCAGAACCAGGCTCTGAGGTATTTGAGGTTGAGGCTGATTGTGGAAAGGTTGAGCTTATGGAACCCAGAGGTTTCCTCTCTGCTAATGGAGGAGCACGCCATTTTGTACTCAGATCCATTGTTTCATCCAAACCATATGAGGAAGTTGAGTATGAACCTCGATCTCTACTCTCATAACTAAATGGCTTTTCTCTCCTAAAAAAAGAATATAGACAGTTGCCAAATATGAAATGTAAGTACATTAAACACAATAAAAGTTGTATTTATATTAATGAGTAAAAAAGATACAATGCTTTACAAATGTATAGTTCAGTTTTAAATTGATAAAAGCTTCTTTTTTTTTTTTATATTTTCTTTTTAAGACCTTTATAATAAGGGTGTAAAAAAAATTCTGAAGTAACTATACTTTCAAAGTCGATAATTTTATTTCTTTATTATTACTCAAATTGTATTACCTCTCTATCCTGACTAAATTCGAAAATTGCAAATTGACCTACAAGTGGCAAAATAAAATTTTTTTTCCTGGAGTAAATTTACTGGTAATGAGGTTCTGCTAAAACTCTTGGTGAGCTAAAAGCCTCCACCTCCCCTCCGCAAAAAATTATAGCCTAAATATTAGGTCATATGTTTGCACATGGTCCTTCTATATAGTTTAATGAACATTTAAAGTTTTTGGTACTGGTAATTTCATCTTTGATTCATCGTTATCCATAAACATTAGTGTTTTTTTATATATAAAAATGTACTAAAAAGGGTATTTGACAACTTGCAAGAATTTGAATTTATTCAAAACTGTTTTAGAAAGGATAAGGATAATCTTAGAAAAGTTCTCTTTGATTTCTTAAATGTATCCAAACCATTATACTTCCTTATACAAAATATTTATATGAAATGTATTCGTAATCTCTTACGCAAAAATTTCTTAATTGTTAAAATCATCAATGTAGTACTTCTTTGTCAGTCTGAATAGTGTAACTGCATTTTGATTAAAAACACTGCTGAACATAATTGAACTGATGAGTAACTAAATTTCTATTTTGCTGAATTTTTTATTTTATTATTATTTTAAAGAATGATTGGCATACTTTTGTTAGGCACGTTTTCTTTCTAACCACTCACCCATTCAAAAGAAGAATTAAAATTTACATTCAGAAACATTCAATACGTTTTGATCAGAACTCAAGGGTCAATTTAAAGTTACCAAATGTTCAATTGTATTGTGTATCAATCACAATATATTTATTTATATGATACCAACAATTTCAATTTGATTCTAATTGACTGATTGGAAAACTTTAGTCTACACTTAGAATTTTTATTTGTCTCATTCCTTACGTTTTCTCAACCTTTAATGATGTAAATATAAGCAGCATGGCACTTTTGCTTACTAGTTCTAACACAGGATGCAAAAATCATTAATTTACTATTTGTCACTCTTATTGTTGTTCTGTTTACAATTTATTTAATTATAATCAATTATAAAATTGAAATTAATATTGTAATTCATAATTATAGGTGGCAGAAAATAAACTTGAAATGAGTATTACATAGTAAACTTAAATTATTAATGAACTATTACACCATAAATTGCAATTTTTTTCATGACTGATTTAAATGCAAATTAATAAGCAGCAGCAAATTTTTGTAGCCTTTAGTTTTTAAGAATTGGTCAATTTTTTTTTAATTTACATAATTGGCCTAAAAAAGCAAAATAAAAATTTTAAGAAAATAATAATAATAAATATACCTCAAAGACAAATCAGCAGCTTCTTCAAATTCCACAGGATTGAAGCCACGAGACTGTCCCTCTGGAGTTAAAACAGAACGGTAAATAGCTTTCCTGAAATAATTTACTGTTACATAATTTATTTTGATTTACTAAAAATTAAAATGTTTTAAATTCTTCACAAATAAAAAAAAATATTTTATTAAATTTTTTTCTTATCAAACCGAACAATAACTGATAAACTAAAATATATATATANCTTGGGTTAAATCACGATTTAAATCATGATTTAAATCAAATGATTTTTTTAAAAAAATCATTGATTTAAATCAACTAATTTTTTTTATCTATATATATTGATTTTAAAAGTTAAAAGACAGTGTTTTAAATTTTTGATACTTCTATTATTTTCTTTTCTTAGTATTAAAATTTAATTTAAATAAATTGCTGCATTAATTAATTTTAGTTAACGAAATTCCTTTCTTGGTGTGTGTTAAATTCCAACACATTTGAAATTACATTTTTAAAAATCTGTTGATTGTTGAGATTGAAAGTACAGATTAAAGTAAACATTTAATGCTGTCTTAACATTGACTTGCATAGCTGCAGAAAGTAATTAATAAACATACATTTTTTTCACAAAAAAAATACAAATAATGTTAATTAAAATTCTACCTTTTGATTGAAAAGGCATGGAATTAAAATTTACATTATATTTTATTGGTGGAAAATATTTCTAAAGCTTGAGGTTATATTAAAAAGAAATTACCCAAATGTGCCAAAAATAGAAAAAGAAAAAATGCTGATGAATTCAGATATTTTTTTCCTGATATGGTGTCATTCTATTAAATTAAATAACCCAGAATCAGAATTGTGCTGTCTCTTTTATCAATAAGTATTTTTTTTCATAATATGTTTACAGTATCTTTGACATTATCATATTTTCTATAAAGAAATTTTGAGAAAAAAAATTCCTTTGAGTACATAGATTTTTTTTTTTTTTTTTTTTTNATGTTATTTAGCTTAACTTATGTATTTTGATATAGAATTAAAAATGAATATTTTAATATAAAAATATATAGATAAAAAATGTATTCTTTGATGAATGACTAAACAAAATCTGTTACTTTAATTTTGTCATTTAAAAAATCAAGAGAAAAAAAAAAGAAATCACAATTTTAAATTAAAATTATGAATTGCTAATTGAAACGTTGTTTTAATAGTTAAAGTATTCTTTAAATTCTCTATTTCATCTAGTCTTTAAATTTCAATTATGCATTTGTTTCAAAATGGTTGCTATGCATTCAAAGCTATGTATCATAATAAAAAATTGTTTTACATAGTTAGAGCTTCTTAAATATTGTTATAATATAGTTTTAATATTAATTTAATTTTGATTAAACATTTACCTAGTTTTTTTAATCATAAATCAAAGTTCTTATAGTATATTTGAATAAAAATCAAAAAAATCCAATTTAAATCCAAAAAAAAAAAAATTTTTAAATCAAAAAAATCACGAACCCTGCTTTTTTCCTAAAAATAAACAAAATTCCAAGACAACAATATTTTGCCAAAAAAATTTTTATTACAAAAAAAACTTAATTTTAGATCAAAAAAATTTTACCTAATATTTTCCTCTTTTTGACTGACAAATGCATTATTCTCTAACAATTTCCTTCTTATTTTTTAAACTCTATTTACCTGATAATTTCAGGCACTGATAATTTTTTAGCGACCCAAAGAAAAAAAATCAGAACATTTTTTTAAAATATCAGAAAAATTTTTGGCACAGTCTCCTACTCAAAAAAGGGCACAGGACCCATTATAAAAGAAAAGTTTGGTTTGATCTACATGAGTATAATAAAAACAATTTTTTTGATAAAATTTTTTACTTTTAATTCCAGATTACCCTGTTCAAAAGAGAAAATTTTAACAGCTAAAAAATTATTTTCAAAAGTATAGTTTTATTGATGGAGCACAGAATAACTCATAAAAGTTTGTGATCAGAAAATAAAATAAATGTCTACAGCACTGCTCTTGTATTAAAAAATATAACCATAATAATGATAAAAAATATAACCATAATAATGTTTCATTAAAATTTGCAATTGAGTTCAAGTTTGAGTCAATTTTGTAATTGAGTCAATTGAGTTAATCAAATAATTTATAAGTCCATTTAATAACTTTGAAAGGAAAACACAGTGACCAATTATAAATAAGCAAATTAAAAAAGCCCTTGTACTTGATTTTAATCACAAAATTATAGTGGAGATGGGATTTTACAGAACTAGCAAAGCCTGTTTTTCATTTTTTTTTATTTTTTATTGACAATCAAAATATAACTAGAGAAATGAAAAAAAAATAGAATTTAAGTTTAATGATATAAGACTTGGAACAAGAAATACTGACACTTAAATTAAACAATATAACATAATTAAAGCTTATGTGAAAAAAGTCAAACAGCACTAAAAATTAACCCTAATGGAAGAGATAGGAAGCTGGAGAAAAAAATTATGTTGCAAAAAATGTTTGGGTGACCAAAAAGTATTTTTTGGTCAAAATTTCGATTATGAAAAAATACTAAAAATTTTATACATATTATATACCCATTAAAAGTTATATGAATTATATGCCAAAAAAATTTTAAGACATGAATCTACATACATGAAATTAATAAAAAGAAAAAACTAAGCAAGCTGATGTGTTGTATCAGGGGTCTGTCTAGGTTTTCCTGAGAGGTATCGTACCTATTTTTTGAAAATTTAGGCATAATTTGTGAAAATTAAAAATTATATTAAAAATTCAACACAAAAATATGGTAAAAATATGGATTTCTCATTTCTTACGGGATGCAAAAATAAAATTTTAAGAAAAAGTATTTTTTGAAACTACCGTTTTACCTTAAGTTGAATTTGCGAAGGTACCGCTAAACGGTAGTAAATTTGGTCTGGACAGACCCCTGTGTATATAAAAATAAAATAGAGCTGGATAACAATATGTAATTTAACAATAAATACTCATAGCTTGTAGTCAACCTAATAAAATACAATAGCATGTAAACGTGAATATTTGATTTTTTAAAAGATGTCCCCCTCCCCCATTTTTTTCTAGCTGCAACTGTTTCTAACATTTATTGATAAGAAAAAGAGCTTAATAGAATTAGAATAAATCTGTTTTAAATGTGGTCTTAACCCAAAGAAATGCATTTCATTTGAAAGAAATATCCATGAATATTAGTAATCTTAATTTAATTATGCCAAAATTTTAAATTAATATTATGTCAACAAAATTTCAAAACTATGTGCACATTTCTGAACATATACAGTCAAACCCCGCTATAATGAACCTTCAAGGGACAGAAATTTCGGTTCACTATAACTGGGAGTTCACTATATCTGTTACGCAGGCAATTTAACTAATGGTTCCCAAACTCCTCCCTTTTATTACACATTATTCAAATAAATGACTGAAAAATATTATGTAGTAGCAAAAAAATTTTTATTTTTTATTACTCTTCGTCTAGCGTACAAAAAAAATTAGTAATCTTTAGCTGATGAACAATCCTCAACATCAGATATGGAAACACTTCCCGACTCTCAGATAATTTTTCTTGAGTTTCTGTTATTCCGCTTTTTAAACCTGTCTAAACTGCCATTCGAGCACATAATATTAGTCTCTACAGATGGTTTTAAAAATCGGTATATGTATTCATTTTGAAGCAGAAATTTCAAAATTACAAAAATATGGGGGGTGGGGGAATCAGTCGAAGACAAAAAAGTTCATTATATCCAACTTCCTCACTTTTTTGGTTCACTATATCCACTAAAAATAACATTATACGTGTATAGCAAGGCACGGGACCGAATATTTCGCTCACTATATCCAGGAGTTCACTACAAACCATGTTCACTATAGCGGGGTTTGACTGTATTACATTAGAGAGTTAAATACACAAAACGCAAAATCTTAACAACAAGTGACCATGGAATTTGCATACCACCAGTGAGAAAAATTGCACTCCATTTTTATATTCATTTTGTCTTTTCCCCAATCTCCTTATTTTCTGAATGAAACCTTCATTATTAGTGAAATTAAGACTTAAATTATCAAAAGCATACAATATATTTTCTTAATTTCTAATCAAGGACAATTTAAAAATATGAAATAAATTTAAATCATCACAACCCTGGTTATCATACATTAAAAGTTAGATACATTTAACTTGAAATGCATGAAAAAACTATAATTATTTAATTCTGTTTGTACGAAAGGTGGCATGATTTAAATCACTTGATTCAAATAGACTTAAATCGTCTGATTTTTTTGAATGATTGATGCAAGTCAAAAATATCGTAAAATATAGATTATTAACATACTCGTGAGAATAAATTTATAAATTTTCTTCTTTTTTTTTGAAAGTTTGATATTAAACATTTTATCTAGAAAATTAACGTAAGGGGAATATAAGTAAATTGTTATTTGATGAGCAACGTAAACATAAGATAGCTTGACTAAATGTGGATAAAAATAACAAGAAACTAAATGTGTAATAAATTTTCTTTAGTTGTACGTAAAAGAATAAGCTGTTCAACAGACTTAGATAAAATGAAAAACTTTCTGCTAACACAAAATTTCAATCAAAAAACTTTCAGCAAGCAAGTTATTGACTTTTGTAATTAGTACTACCTAGCATACAAGTCTGTAATACGTTTTCTAATGAAATCCATAATGAAATTTTTTTCTAAATTACAATATTCAGAAAGAATATTTTTGCATCTATGAAAGCATTATGAATTGACAAAACGGTGTCAAGCTTTCTCTGAAAGAATGATTGATGTTTATGAGAAATCAGAACAGCAGGGTTACCACAGAAAAAAATGAACAAAATAGTTACTTTAAATAGCTTAGAGGATGAAAACAATTGCCGAAACTTATGAAAATATTTGCTGAAATAAGAAGATAAAAATTTCAATAGTATAACTTAAATTGTATTAACTGACTTAATTGTCATATACCATGACCCATTTAGTCAAGTTGGTGGCCAATATGATAATTTTTATATAAACTTTAGTGTTCTAACAATAAATTTTTATATCAAAAAAATTTATATATTTGCAGAAAATTAAATTGATTTACTTACTAGAATTAATTCCAAAAAAAATTTTTCATTACAAAAAAACATATTTTTTCTAAAACATTTTCCCTTTTATTTGATTTGGCAAATATATATATTTTTAGGAAAGTGGTTACTCGAATTCAAAATTCATGCATCGTAATATCGTACAAAAAATTGGGTTTTTTAAAATCATGCAGAATTTCGTAGCAAAAACTGTTAAAAAGCGCCCGAGAAACAAAATAGACTTACAATGGAATCTGTGCAAATTTAACGCATTAAAAAGTGATGACTCAAATTTGCAATTCAAAATTTTCCCCATGGGCCGTAGGTTGTCNTTCTAACAATAAATTTTTATATCAAAAAAATTTATATATTTGCAGAAAATTAAATTGATTTACTTACTAGAATTAATTCCAAAAAAAATTTTTCATTACAAAAAAACATATTTTTTCTAAAACATTTTCCCTTTTATTTGATTTGGCAAATATATATATATATATATTTTTAGGAAAGTGGTTACTCAAATTCAAAATTCATGCATCGCAATATCGTACAAAAAATTTGGTTTTTTAAAATCATGCAGAATTTTGTAGCAAAAACTGTTAAAAAGCGACCGAGGAACAAAATAGACTTACAATGGAATCTGTGCAAATTTAACGCATTAAAAAGTGATGGCTCAAATTTGAAATTCAAAATTTTCCCCATGGACCGTAGGTTGTCAACCCAATTTATGCTTAAAAAAATCTCTAGGAGTACAGAAACTTTTTCCAATAGTTTCCTTTTCCTGAAAATAGTTGCCTTTTTTTTTTTAAGCTTTTTCAGGCAAAAAAAGCTGCCATAGTCGTCTCAGGCCAAAAATAGTTCCAAATAGTTGCATTTTAGTCGCTTGTAGCAACCCTGGAACAGGTATACCATCTGTGATCGCTGATACCCTGCTTTAAAGAACAGAGGAAGCAATTCAAGCAAATAGGCATAATAGATTTGCATAAAAACATAACGGAAATATCTATAACAACTCTTTAAGAAGCACTGACCTTAGGGCACGGGAAATAATATGCACAGGTTCCAAATATGTTAACGGTTGAACACAAAAGCAGAGGATGAGCTGAGTTTCTCAATCAATTTGTAACAGGCAATGGTTTATGGAAATAGGTTTATGAAACAGTCCTAGCAACATTTGAACAACAATGCAATGAGGCCATACCAATTCCCCAAGAAATTCATAAAAAAAAAATTTGGCTTCTACTTTCTGGGACAGACAATGCATTCTTCTAGTTGACTTCATGCCTCAAGGGACCACAAGTAATGCATATTGTGAGATACACATCTTATACAGGTAATTCAAAACAAATAGTACTACTTAAAAGAAAAGTTTCAAATAGAAAGCTTTAGATCACCCGCCATACAGCCTGGACCTTGCACCCAGAGACCTTCCCCAATTCCTTTACCTGAAAAACATTCTGCAGGAAAAAACTTTCACACTGATGATGAGATTAAAACCGAAATTGAAATGTGGTTTGTGCAACAGGATGCTAAATTCTTTGACAGTGAAATACAAAAGCATGAGCCCAGACTAAATTATTAGACAATGGCGGCAACTAAGTCAAAAAACAAGGCATGTACCATTTAAACTTGATTTAATCAAATCAATTTTCCTCTCCATTAAAATTTTGCAGCATTGCACCTTTACTTTTCAAAAATGCCTTGTGTATAAATCTTTCATTTATTAAAAGAAAATTAAAGAGGTGAAAGAAATTAAAATTTGATACAAATACAACTTTAAAAATCGAAAAAAAACATGATTATTATACTCATCTCATTCAAAAAAAAAATTCTTACCTGTTTTGATTCCCATAATAGCCAGCAGCGAAATATTCTGAAGGACCAGTCCATTCTTTTGGCATTCTTATCACCTGGAACATAAACATACAAATAAGAAATAAAATTTTATACAAAAAATAACTATTTCATTCAATACTATAACATAAATTAGTAGCCCAAAACTTTTTCCTCAAATGGGTAAAGAAAATATTTTTCGGCTACCAGCAGCTGCAATGAATTCAATTTTTGAATTGAGTAATAACTTAATTCAGGGTGCATAGCCAGATTTTTCAACAAAAAATAAGCACCTTTTAAGTACTTTTGAAGCATTCATAAATATTTTTAATAACTTTCCAAAAAAAATTAGGATCTGTGCAGTAACAGTCTATCGTTTAAAGTTCTTAATTTATAAACATAAAATCAATAAAATTCAAAAACGTTACATAATCATGATAAAATAACTAGTTTCTGATAAATATTGCTGAAAAAATTGTGAAAATCATTTATTTTTTAAATTAAGAACGACAATCAACACAAAGAAAAAATCTCTTTTTTCTCTTTACTTTTCTTTTTTTTATATCTAAGTGCTTTTTACAAACCAAGGACCTTTAAGGGGTTTTAAAAAACGTAAATAAAAAACAAGCACCTTCGAGCACTTTTTAAAAACGCTATGCACCCTGTAATTATTCCTTTGAGTAAGTAAGACAATATTAAATGCCTTAAAATCAGTTAGCATTTTGCGTAGAAAAAACTTATTTCTTTCAGGACACTGGAAGAAACTTGATAAAACCAGAAGAAACTTGACAAAATGGAAGAAATTAAAAAGAACCAATGCAATCAAATTTAATACAGTACCAAAAAGGGAAAAGTTTTGCATATCAAGCCTTATGAAAAAAATTTATTCCCTATTTTTTATTTTATTTCTATGAAAAATTTTATACAAATCACATAATTCAAAAGTCAATTTGAGTATTCATACCTAAAAGTATTTGACCATAAGTTATACCATAAGTTACCATTTAGGACATATTAAATTACAGTTTATGTGTTTTTCAACTTTAATTAACCTTTTGTTTGTCTGGTATGAAAAGCAGGGTTCATGATTTTTTTTATTCTTAAAAAAAAAATCAAAATAATCAGATTTTTTTATTTAAATCAGATTTTTTTTGTTATATTTGAATACACTGTAAGAACTTGACTTAAAAATTAAAAAAACTTAATAAATGCTTAATCAAAATTAAATTCATATTAAAACTATATTATAACAATATTTCAGAAACTCTAAGTTACTAAAATAATTTTTTATTACAATTATATAGCTTAGCTTTGAATGCATAGCAAGCATTTTGAAACAAATGCATGATTGAAATTTAGACTAAATGAAATAGAATGAAATGCACTATAGAAGGAAAAAAATATCTGAATTCATCAGCATTTTTTTTTCTTTTTTTTTCTTCTATTTTTTGCATATTAGGGTAATTTTTTTTTTAATTTTTATATAACCTCAAGCTTTAGAAATATACATTTTCCACCAATAAAATATAATGTAGATTTTAATTTTTCAATCAAAAGGTAGAATTTTAATTAACATTATTTGCATTTTTTTTTTTAAAATTCATGTTTATAAATTACTTTCTACAGCTATGCCAGTTTATATTAAGACAGCCTTAAATGTTTACTTTAATCTGTACTTTCAATCTCAAGAATCAAAAAAGATTTTAAAAAATGTAATTTCAAATGTGTTGGAAACACCAAGCAAGAAAGTAATTTCGTTAACTGAAATTAATTAATGCAGCAATTTATTTAAAATAAATTTTAAAAGGAAGAAAAGAAAATAATAAAAGTATCAATTATTTAAAACACTGTTTTTTAACTTCTAAATTCAATATATATATATATATTTAAAAAAATCAGTTGATTTAAATTTTAAATCAACAAACCCTGATAAAAAGTGGAGCAGAATGACAGGTTTCACCAGACTAAATGCTGTAAGTGAAGGAATGAAATTAGAGTCTAAAACAGCTATAAAAAAATTTTATGCTACTTGTATACTATGTATAAAATGGTCAATATTTAGCCTCTTGCCCTCTAACCAAGTTATACGGAGAAAAAAACTACAAAATCAGTAAGAAAATTTTATAACTAGTTCTCAAATTAATTTAAAATATCTTGAAAAATTATACCAAAATAGTAACAAGGAAATTCCAAATAAACAGAGGTAATAAATAAAGATGTCAAAATATTTTTTTAAACCCAAAGTATCTTTTAATTGGTAGGTTAAACCCAAAGTATGTTTGAATTGTATGTTAAATGTTTATTAAAATTTTTAGAATTGAGGATGTACCGTTTATCCCAATATATAATTTGACCCCTCCCTATATTCATAACCAGAGATCAAATTTCTGTACGAGTCGAACGCTGAAAAAAAATTATGTATATAAAACTTTCTAAAAAGAAAAACATTAACAAAAAGTTAATTTTCTTTGGTTAAAAACATTTCACATTGTTCTCTCGATATTTGCCATCTAATAAGGATGATAGGAGATGCCTCTTCAAATAAAGATACGATGCTAAACATGAGGCAACATGTGCTAAATCTTTTAATAAAAGTGGACCAGGATATACGGTAAGTAATTCATATACAGTACCAAATATGATAAATTAATTTCCATGGAAAAGCAAAAATTTGCTGCAGAAATAAAGAAAACTTCAGTTGTTTATTTAAAAATATTACATAACTTTACTATTTAATTTTAAGAATTATTCTTATTACACAATCAGAAATAATTAAGTCAAAATAAATTTTTCTCCAGACCCCTTCTTAAAATGTTTGCGCATATGCGCCAGGAGGTAAAATTAAGACAAAATACGGCAATGCGGTGAGCATTGTAAATCACAATTGAACAGCTAACAGCACAGCAGCTAAATACTTAAAAATTAAGTTTTAGTTTTTAAGAATATTTAAGGTAGCCAAAAAATGTAAGAGGTGGAAAATCAAATCCTGAATTTTACTAAAAAGAAATATCTTTAAAAATTAATGAATTTTAAGTGCATTTTAAACATATAATTGGAAAATATAGAATTGGAAATGAAGACGTGTTTAGTTTCATTAACCACATTTATGCCCTTGGGCAACTATCCTCCTAAGTGTTCTTAATTTTCACATTTAATATAGTTTGTTTTCTGAGTTAAAACATCGTTCTCCCCCCTTCTTTGTAGCAAATTGTTAGAAGAAAATCATTATTTTATGACAATTTGTCTGTTTAAAAAAGAATAAAGTCGAATAACTTAATTTGTTTTAGAAAACTTCGTTTTATTTTTTTATTNTTTTTTTTTTTTTTTTTTTTTTTTTTTTTTTGTATAAAATACCATATCAATTTATTTGCAATTTTTTCCCCCAGAGTTTGAACAAATAAGTTAGTTTTACAATAACTTTATTTGTAGTCCAAAAATTTTTAAATTATACGACATATATCGATATCGTATATTTTTTGACACACAAGTTTTACATTCACAATTTTTTAAGTTGTATGACAATTAATTAAAAAATATATTGAATGCAGCAAATATAAATTTCCTTCCATACTGAACGTTCTACGTTTTCCACCCTGTTCTACGTTTTCGAATTTGCTTGAACTTGGTTACCAAAATTGATTTATCTAATTTTGTAAATTATACGACATACATCAATATGGTATATTTTTTGATACACAAGTTTTACAAACCAAATTTTTTAAAGTTATAAATTAAAAAATATATATTCAATGAAACAAAAAAAGAATTCCCTATCTACACTAAACGCTCTGTTCTGCGTTTTCTAATTTGCTCGAACTTGTTACCAAAATTGATTTTCTAAAAAGAGACGAATTCTCTTAACGAAAGATAAAAATGAGTAGAATTTTAGCTCGGTTTCAAGAAAGCGTTTATTCATTCCGTGCTTAAAATAGCTAAAAAGCTGTAAATGTAGGACATCGTGCATATGAAGTCGAAAACGGCACAATGGTTACAATGAAATGATGTAAACGAACGCTGAACTAGAAAATGATAGCTTGGATTAAACGGGGGGAAATTTTTTTTGTCATTGTTTTAGTCTTTTTTTCTTTCTGTTCTTTTTCCTACCCGCCACTGATTTCTTGCGGAAATATTGCGTTATCACCTCCGACATTCTCATCTACTGATCTTTGTTATTAACTTCTTAAAAAACCCCTGCGGCGCAATGTACGTGTATGAATGATTTCGAGGCGTGCCTTGTGGAGTAGCAAATAAATGTCTGGCGCGCGTCTTCGAAGCAGATGATAAAGACAACGATATAAAAGGATCGATATTTTCTGCCACCACTTCTGGCTTTGCTTTTAACTGTGAATCGCGGATTACCGGGGAATATTTTAAAAAACTTGTCTTCTTACGCGCATGGAAGGAGATCGATAGAAAAAACGTGTGGGCGAAAAAGGGTAAGGGGGAGGTTTTCGACCCTCCCTTGGTATGGGGTCTTCTGCATGATTTGGGGGCGTCTCATTTTCACAAAAACCAGCGTCTCCATTTTTTTTTTAATTGAGGACTTACACTTATATTGTTAAATGTGTTGCTGCTAGGGTCACTCTTGGTCACGTGATCGAGTTTTGTTTTACCTTGGCGGGTCGGGTCATGTGACGAAGCATTTAAAATTAGTAGGTTCGGATGGATAACAAAGATCAATAGCCTGGAGCGGGGGCTCTCTTTGTTTCTTATTCTGCTGAAAGGAAGATACTGGGGTGGGGGGGGGAGAGAAGAGAAGAGAGGAAGGTAAAAAATATTCACTTGGCGGTAAGAAAATGAGAACTCTCAAGATGGCCGCCATTCAATTCACTTTCATCGCGTCTTTCATTAACTTGAATTTAATTTTTTTTATCAACTTCATGTCGCACAATTCCATGTAATTTTTTTTTATTTAATACATCTACGCATTCCGTTCAAGAGAAAGCTTAGCTTCGATACACAAGTTTAATTGCTGTCAGCATCTACAATTAAATGATTATGTGAGGCAAAACTAGCTGAGTCGCTTTATTTAATATTTTATTTTATAATCGTCGTTGAACAGCCGACCCAATATTTG